AAAGCTAATATATTTTAGTGGCCACTCAACAAGAGTTTTATTGTTGGCCTCTGGCTGTTGATCCTATCCTTTCCTTTTGATCAGTCGATATTTCTGGGTTCAGTTCCCATTATTTCTTGTCCCCAGGAAATTAACATTTTTAGTTTGAAGTAGATTGTTCTGGTAATTGTTGAGATGTCTCAGAATTAGATTTGCAATAGGCAACTTCGGGTAACCCAGCTGTTCTTATTTGATTTTCTAGCTGCTTTAAATCCACATTACAAAGCTTACATTGAACACTTTAATTTGCATTAGACACAAATGGTTTACCTATGTGAATGAGCCACGATGAGGTAATTTCCCCCCCTAGTGCACATTTGTTCTAGGAAATCCTGAAAGTGGGTTTATTGGAAGCAGTAATGGCTCCTTGCTGTGCAAAGTCTGCCTTGCCCTTTTACATGATTATCTGTGAGAAACTGATGTGAAGGCAGAGCTGCTTCCTCTTTACATATAGGTAGTCCTTCAGATTTAAAGAAGACATACTGTTGTGCAGTTCATCTGCGGATACTGTTAAGACCCAGGTGATCAAGGCAAGGCAGACTTCTAGAAAGTCCTTTATTGCTTTAAGTAAATGTTCCAACAAACAGTCCTCCAACGACTGGTAAGGCTCCACCCCATGCTACCCTGAAGGCAGCTACGTCAGTCCCCCAAATAACAGGCCGTATGTAACAAAGAAAGACCACAGAGTAGGAGCACGCTCACAGGGCAAGTTCCAGGGTTCAAAGACCATTCCACCCAGCTAAGCGAGTCCACGAGGCAAACTGTAGTCCACAAAGCACATCAAGGCACAAGACAAAAGGCAGTCTTCAGGGCAAAGACAAGATACAAGGCAAAAAGCAGTCCTCAAAGCAAGGAAAAGATACAAGACAAAAGGTAGAAGATAGTCCTCAAGGCTAGGCAAAGCAAAAGACAGAAGGCAATCCTCAAGGCTAGGCAAGGCAAAAGGCATGAGTCAAAGCCGGGGGAGTATAAGCCAAAACAAAAAATTGTTCCTGGCAGAGACTAACTCTCCATGGCTTCTCCTTAAGTCAATCCACACCAGGTGTTCCTTGTGAGGAGGGGTGGGATGACCTTCTCCCAAGTAGCCTTGCAGCCCTTCTCTGAGCTTACCTATACTCTGCTCTCTGTACCCTTGGATCGAATGGGGGATGCAGCTATTCTTCATCAGAGGGATCTGCTGCCTATCGGCACCACTGTCTGTCAGCAGCCAATCCTTCCCTGTGTCTGTGAGGGCAGACAGGCAGCATTGTCCTCAGCCCCTGGTCTCTCCAAACATGCCAAGGGAGATGTGCTATCTCCGTTGGATGGTCCCAGTTCCAACTCCTCCTCCTCCAAACCAGGCTCCAATGCGGCCATGATAGATACAGAGATGGCTCTGCCGTCCCAGTCTGTAATGCAGCGTCTAACACAATGGGGACACTGAAAGTCCATTGTTGCAGTAACTATGGATGCTGTTATGTGATGCAGTTCACAGATTTCTATCAGTTTTTGTCAGCACCTTTCTTCAAAGCTGACAAAAGGAGGCTTCATAGCACAGAGCTGACTTAACAGGTTGTGTCAGCAACCACAGCTTCTGGTTTCTTTAGCTGAATGTTACAGTGGTGTTAGTTTTCTTCAGAGCATCATTGTAAGGGTTTGTGTGAATTACCTCAAGGTCTCTTTCCAGCCTCCAGGACATCATAGAACAGTGTTTCTCAACCTTGACAATTTTAAGGCATGTGGACTTCAACTCCCAGAATTCCACAGCCAGCAATGCTGGCTGTGGAATTCTGGGAGTTGAAGTCCACATGCCTTAAAATTGTCAAGGTTGAGAAACACTGTCATAGAACAATTGGCGAGTTATACAATGGTCATTCATTTGGATGACATGTCCCATCCATCACATCTTGGCTCTGATAATAAGGGACTCAGTGCTGGTGGACTTTGTGTGACCCAGGACCTCCAGGTTGGAGAGAAGGTCTTGCCATCAAATATCAGGGATGAAGCTGAGAGCACCCATGTGAAACTTCTCCAATTGTTTGATATGTCATTGATACAGAATTCACTTCCATATAGGAGAGAAGGGATAATCATAACTCTGTAGACTTTGTGAAGGTACAGATATTGTGTAATTGAGCACTCTAGTATGCAGCTGCTGGCCTTGCTGATCCTGGAGTCAGTTTCTTTGTCCAAAGAGCCACCGCTCAAGAAGATGCTTCCCAAGTATTTGAAGCTGTTTGCATTTGTCAACTGGGTGTCATCAACAGTGATTTTTGGTTCTATGGGATTGGTATTTGGCATAGCCTGGTCAAGTATTTCAGTCTTATTTAGGTTTATAGTCAGGCCGGAGAACATAGCAGAGTCTGAGAATTTACATAATACTGCTAATAATAGAGAATTTACATAATACTGCATAATAATACTCTTTACGTAATACTGCTATTAATGCAGGTAAGCTCTCTGTAGAACTAAACTACAGCTTACTCACTGAATCCTAGACAGAGTGTATAGCAGACTGCAGCTAGAGGTAATCCAGACTGAAATGCATCTGGAGCAGTGAAATATGTATCCTGGCATTCTCTGTGCAAATGGCCCATACTCAGAAGTAATTCTTATTATAGTACTGAATGAGTCTTTTTATTGCTTTGATAAATGATCCTTAACATCCAAGTGTATTTCACTAGCTACAGATAATGCCTGTCACTTTGGAGTGGAGAAGTAGGTTGCTGGTTGCTATCTTGTGCCTTTTAGGATAGGGGGAGCTGTCATTTGTAAGTAATTCAGCTGCTATGTCCTGTTAAGATAGATGTCTGCAAAGTACTGCCAAAAGGTAGGCTTTAAAAGAAAAAAAAACTGTGTGGAAATGTTGTTACCTGACTTCAAAAACATACATTAAAGCACTTGGACCTCAATGGCCCAAATGAGGGCAGATAAGAAAAGATCCAATAGAAGCATATAAAATAATGTTGAGCATTGATGGAAAACATGGCAGAGATGTATTTTTCTCCCTCCATTTTTCCTTGTGCAAGGAGATTCAGGACTCTTTCAAGGAAATAAATGATTATACAGAAACAAAGAGGAAAGATGTAAGATGGATGTAAAAGAAGACACTTCATGAAGGACAGGACTTTCATTGGCTACTAAGCTAGTAAATTACTCTAGAATCAAACACAGCCTATCTTAAAATACCAGCTGTTGGAGACCAAACATAGGGAGCTGTTGCTAAGGACCGCAAGATAAATTAACACATAAATCAAAGGCTATTAAGTCCTAATTCTGAACTTTGTGGATGTACGTGTCAGCTCCTGGGATACAGAACGTTGGAGTAGATGGTCTTTTGTTTTACTGTCAGGTGTTTTGTCACGTATTGTAAGAACTTCTATACTGTTACATTGTGGTTTTGTATGCATAGAAACACATATTTCACACATACCGAATAGGAAGCCTTTCTATATCAGAGGAGGATTTTTTGTGGTAAAAAGTTAAATCAGGTCAAACTGTTATTTGCAGAACTTCCATGTCACGCAACTTTGGAGTTCCAGGAGGATGCTATTTTTTTATTCATAGCATTCTCCTTTGTTATTTATGAATGTTCTCAATATGATTCTTCAGGATTTCTCTTTCTAATTATACTTTCTTGAACATCCTATCCATGCAAATATTTGTGTGGGAGAAGAGGTGGAGAAGTAATTTGTCACTGCAGCAAGTGGAGAGTCCTGAGCATCTGAAACGAAATGTGAAAAATCAGGAGTCTGGCAGCACTTTTTTTGATACATTTTATTAAAAGGCATCAGCATTCATGAGTTGCAAGTCACTTCATCAGATACATAGAGTAGCTAGACTGATGTAGGATTTAAATGGGGATGAGGTGGGGGGGAAGACACAGGTTATGTATGCAACAGATTATTTTATCAGTTAATTATTGTAGCATGTTAAAACCCCTCGTGCTTGTTGAGATCTTCTGAGATTGGCTGAAACTTTTTGATATATGTGAGTTCAACCATTTCTCATTCAGTGGCACTGTTAAAGTCTCCCAAACAGTTGCTTTGCCTGAAAGGGAAAAGGCAGCTGTGATAGAAGACTGAAGTGGCAGACAGGATAATATATAAAAGGTCTCAGTCAGGGGTGATGTCTTGCTGGCCACAAGACTGTGGAAACATCTCCAGACATCGCTGGCTTTTTGGCTTAAGAAATGGAGATGAGCATGGCCCCCTAAAGTCAGTCACAGGGACACTTGCAGGGACGCCTTTACCTCACTCCCAAGAATGGGAGGGAGAGATAGTGCTTAAGGGGTGCACTGGCATTAGGGAGACTTAAGTCCATCCTCAGCCATAGAAGCTTCCTGGGTGGCTTGGGGGCCAGTCATTCTCTCTCAGCCTAACTGATTTCACTGGGTTGCTGCTGTGTAGAGGAAATGGGAAGAGGTAGCATATATACACTGCTTAAACTCCTGAATGAAAGGTGATTTGTATCTAATAAATAATAAATAAACCAGAATGCAAGCGGGGGTGCAACAATGGATTGGCAAGGATGATTTGTGATTGCATGTATAGCTGTACAAGCTCTGTTCTTGGTTTTTAAACATGCTTCTATTTGACTACTCACTGAGGTTTAATTGCGAGATGGCTTCTGTCTCTGAAACCATATTCAGTATGTTTGTGTGAGGCGTATTAATAAATGTATGCCTGTGATGACTAGGGGAATTTACCTAGGGTTTCTTTCTTTTAGTGCTATGCTTTGCCTAGATATCATTTAAAACCTTCTTTTCCTGCCCATTAACAGCTATAATCTTTCCTTAAAAAGAATTATCTATATTTTTCCAAATGGATTTTATAAAAATACAGTCTAGGCCTTATCTGAACTGCAATCAGGCCAGTTCCTAGCCTTATGAAAAAGGGTATCAGCATCTGGGAAAGGTGACAGTTCTGCAGCTGTTATTTGTTTTTAATTATGCTAACTGGCATGTCCTCCTTTTCATACAGGAGATCTGATGAAGCAGAACACTGCATCAGTGACATCTTAGATTCACCTATCCAGAACTCTCAGGCTGCCCTTAATCTAGGTGTTCAGAATAAGGTAAGGAGTGCACTTGCTTTCTGCCTGCCACTAATAGTACAGATGTGCTTATGTGTTGTCTTTGCTTTAGGAGCTTCAAATAATCCTCATTACCCTTAGGGATATAACTTAGCTTGAGAGAGAAGCCAATCTAAGGTCACCCAGACAGTTTTCTGGCTGACTGGAGATATTCTAAACTGAATGCAATTAGCATCCACCTCCTCAGGGACAGGAACTGGGTTAGCACAGCTGGATAAGCTCTTTCAACTGGATAAGCTTTAGAACATTAGTTCTTGGCACCCAAGTATCAAAGATTGAAAATGGAACGGATATATCTAGGGGTTTGGGAAGTTTGGAGCATGCTGTTTTTCCACATAAGCTCTTGTCTCTTTAGGTCATGTTTAGGTGTTTATGTAACATACCTACCTTTTGTATCTCAAAATATAATTCTTTTCTGCATTTTTTTTCTGACCTTACTGCTTACAGTTCTTCTTTCCTTTCTTGCAGTCACAATGCCATATATATATATATATGTTGCTAAGTCAATATTATTTCCTGTGTTTTGTCTGTGAAAAACTATCATCAAGAACAAAGGAGAAGGTTCTATTCAGCCTTCTCTCATGAAAGTACTATGTGTACAGGTAGTCTTCAATTTGGGACCAGTCATTTAAGAGATGGAAGCCAGGAATATATTGATGAGAAATATATCAGTTATATTTGACAGTTTGAAAGATTTTCATGTTGAAAATGCAGTAGATTTATTTCTTTTGTCTTGATGAGAAAGATATGGAATCAGCCAGAAGTAAATTTTTGGCTAAAATTTAGAAGAACTTTTAATGGTAGCAGACTACCTTAAATAGAATAGTTGATGCCCCTTAAAGTGTTTAAACAGACCTGGGCAGCCTTATGTACACCACCTGGAGCCACTCTGAGAGTGAGATGGGTGGTATCTAAATTAGATGAGTGAGTGAATGAAAGTGAGAGAGAGAGATGATTGATAGATAAAATACGTTGGGAGTGCTATAGTGCTGTCCTGCTTTTAGTAGATACTTGGACTTTCCAGGGTCTCTTCCAATTATGGTTTTTTAAGGTTTAAAATTTAAAGGTTGTCCTTTAAATGGCAAAATATTTGGTTCTTTTTAGATAAAAAGAAGTATCTGAGTAAGGAATACAATAGTGATGAGCAGCTCACTAAAAAGTATAAGACATGATACTTTTCCAAAATGGCCTGGTTTCCAGATAATTAGAGCTTATACAATATGCTTTTTTCTCTTCTGAGACAGCAGCTATCAGGAAGCACTCTGTATTTTGTGTTTTCATAAACTCTGCAATACTGAAGATACAATCTAATGAAACAGTAATTATGATCTAAAGTTGGGGTCTGCAAATTTATTTCTTATTTTATGTGATACCATACAGGTAGTCGACTTATTTGAAATGATTGAAAAAATGCAGGTATGTTATTCTTGTTTCATGATCAAATTTTGAACTTCTGATAATAAGCTGCTTCTGTTATGGAATTGTCTTGGCACTGAACTTTACCATAACCCAAATGCAATAATTACTTCAAAGGTCTCTACCTTTAGTTGTGTAAGCTGTTAATCCACTCCACACATCTGGCTTCTTACTTTGTTGCCCTTCTATTTCACCCTTCCTCTTCCTGCGTGATGTTTCTGTTGGTTCATCTGGCTCCTGTGAGATTCTCCTTGTAATTTACAAAAATGTTTTTACCTCTCTGCTGTGATTGTTCTTAGAAATGGATGCTTTCTTTCTGCTGTACTTTTGCTGTACTTCTGGAAGCCTCCAAGAGCTGTACTCTCCCTGTTTTCATTTTGGCCTGGTAATTGTCTGGCTACAGGTGGCCAAATATTCAGGGATACCTACATGAGGGAAATATGTTGGATGAAATTTTTTGGGGGGGCTCCTCTCTTGCACATCTGTGTTTCTTATGTACTGGAATTTAAATTAAAATCACTCTACATCACTGATAAGCTCAATTCAAATTTGTGGAATGAATTATAAAAAAAAACCCAACTTGTCTTCCAGGGCAAATTGTGTGGTAGATATCACATAAAATCTGACTCTAACACATGTAGATGTGCTACCTAGAGTAAGCTTTTGGTAATTTGATGAATGAAATTTGTCTTTCCATTTGATGCTCTCAGAAGAAAGTGGATGGGGAAGGTAAATTAGGAGAAGATTTAGTTTCATTGAATTACTATGATGAGTTATTATCCTTGCCCCAGAATTTTTGGAGTATTGCCCTCACCATGTTATTCGAAGGCCAACCTCCCCCTCTGAGGGACAGGAAAAAGTAAACCAGAGATTGATTGATTTTTTCTTTCCTTCTTCCTTCCTCCCTTCCTTGTCTCCTTATCTGTCTGTCTAGAGAAGTCGTTTGGATGAGCAAAGATGTTCACTTCCAGCAACATTGAAGGTCAGTTACCATTGCTCATTGCATTTTTTGAATTAGGAATGATAAACCCCAGCAAAGGTCTGCACATTATTCTATGATGGGACGAGTTGCACCCTAGTATTTCAGCAAAATTTCAATCAATAAACAACTCAACAGGAGGCTTTGCAGATAAGATTTGCGGGGAGGGGCTGTTCTTAAGGACTTCACTCCCAATTGAGTGGAATCCTCTCTTTCTCCACCATGGAATGAATAACAGCTTTCTGTTTCTGTACAACTGTGGAGTTAGAAGAGCTGGTGCAGGGAATGGACATCTTTAGAGGAATGGGAGCAAGGCTTACAATTTTGGGAAGGGCAGAAGTCACAATGGATTGTATAGTTTGGGAGTAGGCTCACATATTTGGACCTGTGCCCCATTTGGGTTTTCTCTTCCTTTGATTTTCTTCCTTAAATTAAACCTCACCTATGGCTTGCATTATACTTTTAATGAATTTCCCATCTCAAAATGTCAGAGAACTACACCACGACTTTTCAGAATTGTACCACTAAAATTTAATGGTGCTGCCAGGGGAAGTCCAAGATCTGCGGGCATCACTGTGATCAGAGGCAAATTGGAGTAGGGCAAGAGTCATAGTCCAGGTGAGGGAAAAAGAGAAATAAAAGAAATACAAATTATTATAGAAATACAGGAAAATTAATATTAATGTAAATCAATACTTATACAGTGATATTGGCTTATTATGAACTTTGAAGTTGTATTAATTTAGTCATGCTAGCTGGGAATTCTTGGCCCTAAGGGGAAGGCAGAAAATAGAGCAAGGCAAACCACCATTGTTTGTGTATATATTTCAGTGTTCAGATAAGTAGACCAATTTGGTCTAGTCGTTAAGGCACCAGTCTAGAAACCCAAACATCTGTAAGTTCCAATCCCACCTTAGGCATGAGAGTTTCTCTCATGACTAAATCACTCTCTCTTAGCCCAACCCACTTGACAGGGTTGTTGTGTGAAAAATAGGAGGAGGAAAGAATATTGGGTCTGTTCACCAACTTGAATTATTTATTAAAATAATAAATGTGGGAGATTAATTAAAAACAAACAAATAAACGAAGTGTTCCGAAGCAAACTAACCTTCCCTAACTGGCACCTTCTAATTGTACTGAGACTGCAGGGCCAAGAATTCCCAGTTAGCATGAACAATAATATAACTTCAAAGTTCATAATAAGCCAATACTACCATATAAGGGGCATTAATTCAGGAATGTTGTTGTTGTTGTTGTTAATTGCGAAGTCGTGTCCGACCCATCGCGACCCCATGGACAACATTCCTCCAGGTCTTCCTGTCCTCTACCATCTTCTGGAGTCCATTTAAATTCACACCTACTGCTTCAGTGACTCCATCCAGCCATCTCATTCTCTGTCGTCCCCTTCTTCTATTGCCCTCAATCTTTCCCAGCATTAGGCTCTTCTCCAGTGAATCCTTCCTTCTCATTAGGTGGCCAAAGTACTTGAGTTTCAACTTCAGGATCTGGCCTTCTAAAGAGCAGTCGGGGTTGATCTCTTCTAGGACCGACCGGTTTGAACGCCTTGCAGTCCAAGGGACTCGCAGGAGTCTTCTCCAGCACCACAGTTCAAAGGCCTCAATTCTTTTGCGCTCAGCCTTTCTTATGGTCCAACTTTCACAGCCATACATTGCAACTGGGAAAATCATGGCCTGGACTATGCGCACTTTTGTTGGCAGGGTGATGTCTCTGCTTTTTAGAATGCTGTCTAGATTTGCCATAGCTTTCCTCCCCAGGAGCAAGCGTCTTTTAATTTCTTGGCTGCAGTCTCCATCTGAGGTGATCTTGGAGCCCAGAAAAATAAAATCTGTCACTACCTCCATTTCTTCCCCATCTATTTGGGGAAGAAATGGAGGTAGTGACAGATTTTATTATAACTCTGGAAGAGCAGGAATGGCAGAGATGAAAAAGGAAAGTCACTCTTTGCACCTATTTCCTGTTCTCTTGTGATTGTTAGGGTAATTGTGTGCCAATCTAGCAATGGTACTATTTTAGTTGAATGTTTCATTATGCATGCTACTAATTAGTAAAATACCCCTCTGATATTTTTTTTCTTCCATTCAATCATGTCTGATTCTTCAAGACTGTCTCGACCAATTTTCTTGGCAACGTTTTTTCTTCCAGAATTGGTTTGTCATTGCCTCCCTCCTCACTGAGAGAAAGTGACTGGCTCAAGGTTACTCAGCTGGCTTTGTGCCTAAAGGACTAGAAGTCACAGTCTCCCAGTTTCTAGCCTAACTTCTTAACCGCTACATCAAACTGGCTCTCTTCACTGTGATTTACAACAGAGCATAAAGCCAAAGTTAAACAAAAGATGCCATTCTAAGAACTATTCAACTATGCAAGTATGCAACTATTGGTTGCAACAAAGGGCAATAAACTTGGAAGGTTGAGAAGATTATTTTAAAAAAACCTAACACTTATTCTTTCCGCATTTACTGGAATATAAGGAGGAAGGGAGGAAAAATATAGGCAGACTTGCAAGATTTTGTTACTACAGCCTATCTCCATAAAGTGTAACATTTAATCTTCCCATGGAGTCAGTTTCCTGATCTGTTCAACCATGTAGAGCTGAAAGTTGCATACAAACTGTAAGTTTCTGAATTAGAGGCACAGATAAGATTATAAAGAGTGGGTTACAGTATTCATGCCTAAGCCTGATCTAGAAGTATTTGTAATATTATAACTGAGGAATTTCTGCCACAGCAGGTGGCAACATCTAGCAGACAGATCTGTTTAGTATTTAGATAGGATGCCATCATGAAATCCCACCATAGACTATTCCAAGAAGTTAAAAAAAAATACCATCCTGTAAAAAGGCACGCAAAAATCATTTGCCAAAAAACAAAACAAAAAAACCACTATGTTGCCAAAATAAGGAGTCTTTGACTTACAACCATTTGTTCAGCATCCATTCAAAGTTTTGACAGTGCTGAAAAAATAGACTTATGGGCTATTATGGCTGTTCATACAGTAGTGCTGTCTTCAGAAAGCCTTTGGAAAGATAGCATAGCATGTTATCTATCCCCTCCCTCCTCCAGAGCTGCCTCACAAATGGGTGTCACAACCAAGAAGGTTCAGAGTTTGCAAGAATCTATCTGCCTTCATGAAACACCAGCTTGTCTCCCCATTGAAGTGGTACCTATTTATCTACTTACATAGAACATGCTTTTGAACTGCTAGGTGGGCAAAGCTGAGGCAAGTGACGGGTTCATCCTGCCATGCAGTGCTAGGGCTCGAATTGCTGGAGCAAAGACTATCTACAGCATCATTAAGCCACTGAGTCACCACACTACTTAGATGATGATTGCTAACATTTCAGAAGATAGATTCAAGATTCAGAAGGATCTTGATAGGCTTGAGCTTTGGACCCTTCCAACAATTCAGTAAGATCTTGCACTTAGATAGGAAAAACCAGATCCACAGATGCAATCCAGGCAGTATCCTCATCATCAGTAGTGCCTGTGAGAGGGAGCTAGGTGTCTGGTGAATCACCACTTAAGTATGAGTCAGCAGTGTGCTGCGCTGCTAAAACAAAAACAAAAAAACCTCCAACACAGGACTTCTGGTTTTGCGCCATAGTGCCCGGCCGCGGGATTGAGGAGCTCTGCACTCCACAGCTAGTTTCGCCCTGCCAGGTGACCCTAAATGGGGCAAAAATTGCCCCAGATAGGCGATGAAGAAAGAGGGGTGCTCCGATGAACACGGAACAACGGCGGTTGATCCATTTGATCCGGGGGAAGCCCTCTAACCCGACAGAAGAAAGGCTAGCTTCACACCAGTGCCTAGCCCAAGCTACTTGCAGCCGAAGTCCAAGAGCATGAACTAGAACAATGATGAACTGTATGCTTGGCCTTGGTAAGAGTATCGATCTTCTCTCTTTTATTTTGTAACTGATTCCTTGGGAAAGATCCCCAATAAGAAATCCTCTGAAAGTGAAGGGAGGGGACTACACCCCTATTCCTCCATAGACGGAAGCAGCGAATTAACTTTTAAGGGGGAAAGAAATATATTGAAATGAAATCTATAATATTACAGTCTGGATAAATCTAGAAACTAAGAAAATTTTTAAGATTTTACACCTTAAAGGGTTCTGATGAAATTATATATATATATATATATATATATATATATATAACTTTTTGTTTGAAAAAGCTAGAAAACAAACAACTACTGACATCTAGAGGAGAATTAGAGTATAGAACATCAGCAAGACTGATTCAGAAATTGTCAAGATGCCCAGAAACAAAGAATAATCTGTTCCCTTGAACTTTAATAACTCTCAAGAAGACAGCAGGGAACAAAGAAAGAAAACATACTGAGCCAACGATAAAATTAAAAAGTGTTTGCAGAAAAAGAAAGACTCTGACTGCTGTTTAAGCCCAAGAATTATTTACAGAAAAAGAAAAACTTTGACTCTTGGCTAATCTCTCGCGGAAGTTACAAGAAAGACTCAAGGTGGCTAAGTATACTGGATTGCAATTCTGAGTGGTTGATAACTGAACCCTAAATAGAAGAACTGTGATAAAATACTGGTTTCACTGATGCTTTGACAATTGGAAACACATTGGATTACAAAAATCATATATAAAGATAAGAACTATATAAGATTGGGTTGTTTGGATTCTGAGATTGGCTGGTTTGACAAGGCTAATCATAGAGACTATGGCACTGATGAAAGACTATTTGAAGGGGGGAGGTAATATGGATATTGTATACTTATCAAAAAAAGACAGGAAACCACATCTAATATGTATTCCTGAAAGATCTAGCCTGGAATATCAGAGACCTCCAGAAGCAATATTCCAAGACAAGACAAATACTTTTCAGGAGGAAATGTATGCAATGCTACAATAGATACAAATGACAATGGATTCAAACCACGAGTTAATAAAAAAAACAACTTTAATGACATAAATGAGCATATCTCCAATCTAAACTTACAATAAAAAACCTCTCAGAAAATGATGATAAAGAATAAACAAAAAAATCAGATAATAGAAGATAAACTTGAAGAAAATGACTTAAAGAGAATTACAACTTAACACAAACAAGAAAAAATCTACAAGATTTTGCATTAACAATAAAAATGGAAAAAATACTTTATTTGTCAGGACATCAAAACAAACCCAAGGACAAGAAAGAAGATTTAATAAAATGGACTATAGAACTGCCAGGAAAATCATTAGAGTTTGGGAGACAAAAAGCACATACCCTACGCAATTTGTCTTTCTCACTCCCAATAATACCCACAAAAATACAGGAACTTCCTGGCAAACGAAATATATTAACTTGGAAAACTACTTGGCAAAAAAAAAAGGCCAGAATTAGATTTAAAAGATTTGACTCGCCTTACCAGACGGAATATTACATGAGCAAACACCTTTTGAATATGATTAAAAGAACAAAAAAAATTGGATATAAAGGGGCTCTATAGTAAGAGGGATAAGAGATATACGTAGTATGGTATCTTCTACAATATATGAAATGTAAAAATACTGTTGGAAGAAGGGAAGATCAAAGAAATATACTACTAATTAATACACTAATTATATAATAAAAATTAATCATTATTGACTGTTAATTATTACTGATTATTTTTTTAAATATATGAACCAAGACATCACACTATTCACTAGGCACTAGGGGTTGTGATTGTAAAAATCAATAAAATATATTTTTTAAAAAATAAAAATAGTACCATTCTGAGGCCACATTTGGAATACTGCATCCAGTTCTGGACACCACAATGCAAAAAAAAAAAAAAATTACCCAGGCTCTGAAAAGAATGCAGAGAAGAGCAACAAAGATGATAAGGGGTCTAAAAGCTAAGTCCTATGAAGAACACCTAAAGGAACTAGATATTTTTAGCTTAATGAAGAGAAGATTGAGGGGAGACATGATAGTAATCTTTCAATACTTGAAGGGCTGCCATAGGGAAAAGGATATTGATTTACTCTTCATAGCACCTTAGGGTAGAACAAGAAGCAATGGGTGGAAACTCATCAGAAGGAAATCCAACCTGGAAATGAGGAATCTCCAGGCCGAACTGTTAAGCAGTGGAACAGCTGCTCTCCCAGAGTTGTGGATGCTCTGTTGCTGGAAGTTCTCAAGAAAAATATTGGACAACTGTTGGTCTGAGATGGTATGAGGACTTCTGTCTTGGTCAGGGGGTTGGACTGGAAGACTCCAAGGTCTTTTCCAACACTGATTCTACAAAATGCTACAGAAATTGCCACTCAGCAGGGTGTCTAAATGCAAAAGCACCCTCTCTCTCTTAGAGCGCTGGCTAAGTCTAGTTTTGTGCAATTCTTAAAGGGTATATTTTGCATGCTTTTGAGGAACCAAGGTAGGATTTCTCTCTATAAAAGGCTCTTAGAAAAGACTCAAACTCAGCAATTTCTGACAGTTGATTCTATACCAGTGGTTCTCAACCTTCCTAATGCCACGACCCTTTAATACAGTTCCTCATGTTGTGGTGACCCCCAACCATAAAATTATTTTTGTTGCTACTTCATAACTGTAATTTTGCTACTGTTATGAATCATAATGTAAATATCTGATATGCAGGATGTATTTTTCATTATTACAAATTGAACATAATTCTATTCTACTCTACTCTACTCTACTCTACTCTACTCTACTCTAGCCTACTCTATTCCATATTGTCTATTCTGTTCTCTCTTCCATATTGTCTATTCTATTCTACTCTGCTCTGGTCTATATTCTATTCTACTCTATTTTGGTCTGGTCTCTATTCTATTCTATTCTATTCTATTCTATTCTATTCTATTCTATTCTATTCTATTCGACAATTTAGGGTTGTCTTCTTCCTGGTTATTCAAAAAAGATTCAGTTATAGAAATGACAACTTTCTGATCATTCTCTACATCTCCCAGCTTTGCATTTGGAGTAAAATGAATCCCAAATTGCCCTTAGTATATTTTATTATTTTATTTCAAAATGGTCAGAGAGGAGGGTAATTTCCCTAAGAACCGCCCACCGTGGCGCTCGAGGAGCTCCTGTCTCTCAGCCCCGCCTCTTTCGAGGAAGAGAGTTCGGGTGGGGGGGAGCAGAGGGAAAGCGTTCTCTTCTCATGGAGGAAATTGGCCTCGGTGGCTCGCCATACGTGAAGCCTTAAGCAGCGTGAGAGTTGGAAGAGCAAGGAGTTCCCCTTTCCATCCCTGCTGCGGCGCTTGCAGCTTTGTAGGTTGGTACTTTCACGCTCACAGGATTTGGAATGTCACAATGGCTCAGAACATTCAGAGTGTTACATTGTCTCTCACGCTGCCGATCACTTGCCACATTTGCCTGGGGGACTGCGCGGAGTGGAACATGTCCGGCGCCGACGCCCCACTCCCTTGCAAAATGCGTGTGGGATGCAGGAAAAAGCCCCCTCGGTGGGGGAGAGGAGGAGAAGTGCTTTTAATTCCACACGTTCTTTCTTCTTTTTCTCCCCCCCCCCCCATTTCTTGCGTGGCTTTGAATGGGCGATTATTTCTGAATTCTAGCTTTGTCCCTAGTTTTGGAAATGGCTCGCTGAAAACTTTATAAGCGGTGTGTCAAGCCCCTGGGCTTGACATGAACCGGTGGGGGACAGGGAAGGAGCAACCAGCGGCCAGCTGATGTCCGTACGCCGCCCCGGGGTGCTGGCTGACTTCCACGGACCAGCTGGGAGTCAGTGAGGCCGCCATGCACCGTGGCCGCCTCCCTCCATTGACACAGATGCCAGGGAAGTCCTACCGCCAGCTAGGCGTCAGAGGCATGCCAGCCAGACGCCGGAGGGACCGCCTCTTGCTTTAGCCGCCCCTTGCTCTCACTGGACGCAGGGGGAGTCCCGAAAATCAGCTGGGCATCGGTGGCAAGTCAGCCAGACGCCAAAGGAACTGCCTCCTGCCGCGCCGCCTCTCCCTCTCGCCGAGCACCAGGGGGAATCCCCGGAAGCCAGCTGGGCGGCGAAGACTGGCTGGATGTCAGGGGGTCGTCTCTTGTCGCTGCCGCCCCTCCTGTGTTGCTGGTGGTCAGTGGAGGCTGCCAGTTTCCGGGGGGAGCTATTGCCTCGTAGAAGAGCGTGGAGTCTCAGTTCCTAAGACCATCGGAAATACGTGTTTTCCGATGGTCTTAGGCGACCCCTGTGAAAGGATTGTTCAACCCCCAAAGGGGTCGCGACCCACAGGTTGAGAACCACTGTTCTATACATTGTGCTCTCAGAAATAAACTTTACCTCTGGTTCAAACAACTGCCTGCATTCTTTATTATTATAAGATTTCTTTCCAACAGTCTATGTATTTATTAATGGCCTCTATGCGTTTTCAGAGAGAAGAGGAATACATCCCCTATCCCAGCATCCATGAGGTGAGTCAATGATGGTTTGAGTTCATATGTTTTAATTGATCAGAGCTAATTCTGGCTCAGGTTTTTCAACTAAAGAAGGATAAAGTATCACTTTGGGTGATTGCACATCTGCGTTTTTTGACAGGATTTTCTTTTCTGCGGGTCTAGTTCTTTTTTTCCCTTTTTTTTTCTTTTTTTGAGATTAATCCATGACTATTTCAGGAGGATGAACTCCTGGAGCTCTGAAGTAGAAGGAGGATGCTGAGATATACTTGAGAAAAGTTGTAATCCAATTCATGTGGAATAAATGGAGGGGTGATTTAAAGTGTTTAGATGTGTATAGCTATGGAATTTGATTAATTTCAAATGCAAGTGCAGATTCCCTTCTTTCTTAAAAGGTATTGCAGAGGGGCTGGCCGTACCCTCTAATCATCTTACCACAGTTTGGGGGTTACTGGATTGAAGGGACCTCTCACAGTCTACCAGTATCAGGCCTTGAGTTGCAAGACTTGCCATCTCCTTGCAGTGGCAAAGTGAGGCTGGAGTGTGATCCAACAGCAAAGCTGTACCGCAAACACTTCCTAGGAAAGGTAAAAGTTTATATTATTTAACATACTCCAAGCCTTTATATTTTAGGTATTTTCTTTGTAATAATTTGCAGTATAAATTTGTGGATACAACTTGGTTAAGAAAGCAAAACATTATACAGCAATGTTAAAAATGTTACTTTTCAAGTAACTTTATTAGAGATTCAAATTTGAACTTTACTAGGTCAACTTAATTTTTAATTTTATTATAGTAGAATATGGTACTCTAGTAGAGTAGAGAAGGAAAGGTATATATATATTAACAGTATAACATAACCTCAAAATTAATCATCATCATCATCATAAAAAAACAAAAAAGGATTAGGAAATTATGTAATCAACAGAACAGTTCCAAAACTTTGTTTTTATTGCTTGAAAGTTTTTCACTATGCTAGAAAAAATGAATTCAAATATTGACAGCCAATACATACCCTGTAAATCAGGAATAGATTTTTTTTGTCCCAGAATTTAGCTAATCCCATGCCCCTCAAAGTCAAAATTCTTGATGGTTTGATTGATTTGTGATATGTTCTGATAAGGTATACTGGTAATCAGAATCAAGAAGAACATAAGCGTCTTGTATGCTTAATATTTATCCATATTAACATATATATCCTATTAATGTTAGACCCAAATGTGGCAATAATAGGACCAATGCAAAGCATCTGTGTTAATGTTCCAAGTCATGATTGCAAACAGTTCTTATTAGCAGGATAATTTATTAATTTTCCAAAAAGTATTTTAAATATCTTCCTCAGAATTGAACTGATCCAAAGTAGTATTTATAAATAGCCCCAATTTATGCAAAATTAGATTAACCAACTATTTTAAAACTGTACTATCCCATACTGTAACACTTTCATTAGAGCTGAAAAATGTATTGGCAACACAATGTTTCAGTGTATATCTGCTGATTTCATTCAGTATTGAAATGAAGTCTAAATGCATATAAAATAATCCATCTGTTTGTTAGAATTGTTGCTATGATCCAACGGGATCCAGCCTGGCTTCCTCTAATTTATAGAATAACCAAATACCATAGGATATTGTACATGTATTAATTAGAGTATGAAAACATAATATGTGGTATGTGTGTGTGAAAGAGAGAGAGAGAGAGAGAGAACAATTTCCCTGGTGTATAATTTGGCATAAATTAATACATTTATACAATAGCTATTAATTGTCACCTATGATGCCCTAGTGGAGTGGGTCATATCAATCCAAAGACTAAACTTATGGAGAAGCCCAAAATAAGTTAAAACCAAACTCAAAAACGTCCAAGAAACCTCATCAAAGACTTTTCAGCATCCAAAGAAATTATAGTATAGCTGCTGAGTCCTGTCTATTTTAAACACAGCTAGAATAAATATCAGTAAAGAAAACTTTAATAATGCTGGAATTTTTATGTACATGTACAAATCCAGCCTGAACTGGCTGTTCAGTAGTCAGAAGAACAAGCTATAATTTGTGGGCCAAAGCAGCTTTTAAAAACTTAACTCCCATATTTATCAAGGAAATATATCTATAATTAGAACACAGAGGGATCATTTCCAATTATGACTATATTTGCCTCATTAAAAGCCTGGGATTTTTCTTTTGAAAAGCTACAATACGCCTCTAGCAAAATAAAAGATATAAATAGCTGATATACGTTTTGTATATCCACTGAAAAACCATGAAGTCTGGAGGACTTTCCAATTTCAGGAATTTAATTATGACAGGACTAGAACTCCCAGTCTCCAAAGTTTGTAGCCTGATGCCTTAACCTCTACAGCAAACTGACTCTCTTGTTACATCATAGCTGGATTATCCAACATTTGTAGGAGAGTCTGAGCCTGTTCATTTATTTGTTTATTTTGGAATATCGTAAGATAAGACAAGCATTTTGATGTCTTTGTTTTAGGAGCATCAGAATTTCTATGCCAACGATTCAGCTTTGGGCTACTTGGTTCTTTCTGTGAAGTATGAACAGGTCGAAGAGCAAGACCATCTTCATCTGTTGCTGAGGTAAAACTGCCCTTTGATGCCACCATCCTCATGATATCACAGGGCTAGTCAGCCAGCCTTTTCAGTAAGTTCTCTTTCTGTTGGCTGGTTTTTCTAAAGCTTGTTTTAAACTGGCAACTGCCTGTCTTTGTCCCAGTCTGTTTTTTAAACCTTTTCTCAGTGACTTGTTTGGTTAGGTTCATTACTGCTGATATAAGAAATGTCCACAAGTCTCATCTGAATCCCCTTGGTGTGACAATTAATTTACATGTAGCAGAATTTGCCACTGTGTGTCTTTCTCTCCAGCAGAATAGATTGTGGTGGGGAAAAAGTGGGCTATAGCCCATCCCTGATTGCTTGGTTGCTCTTTAATTTATTCTGCTTTTTCTTGTTGCTCAAATAGAGCCCGAGCCTCTACCAAGCATGATCTCATTCCCATATCCTGCCTGACAGAGTTTCCTAATGCTGTCCAAATGGCCAAGGTAAGTGTTCCAAACTTTACTCTTTTATTGTCAAAGTCTGGCTTAGACTTTTGCTATTTAATGTTGCTTAATGTTGTTTTCTCTGTGATGGTTTCAAAGGTTCCATGAAAACTGTGACTCCTTCAGTTCATTATTGCAGCACTTCTTCAAGTTATGACAATTAGCACACTCTTAAAAGTTGGGTGGAGAACCTTTACCTGTTCAGGAATTACATGTGTATACAGACATTCATACATGGACATATATGCTGCTCTTACATCCCTATCCTTCATACATGTCCACATGCAGGATCATTGATCCAGATCAATAAATCTCTGCAATCTATCAGCATTGGAGAAACAGCAATGTGAAGTAACACTGGAAAGGAGAAGCTGCTATAAATCTCTATAGGAGTGGAAGATCTGCTAGATTGGTTAGACCCAGGTCTCTGATGGATCTGGATAGTTTCCTGGATATACTTGAGGAATTTCCTGCCTCACCAGTCAACAATATTGTTCAAACCCTGGGCAATCTGTGGAGCACAGCCAGCAATATGGCTCTTATGGCCCTCTTCTTCCAGCAGCATGTTGGGTTTATCAAGAAGCTGAGTGCATTTAAGAAAATGGATGGAGGGCTTGAGTATGGAACTAGTTTTATGACTTGGAGGTGATTAATTTCTCCATGAGTGATATTCAGTATGTCGTTCCCTTTAGTTGAAGGTCTCAATTATATGAACTTTATTTTTTTAAAAAGCCCTTACTGGATCTGGATAATCTTTGTAATTATAGAAACAGAAAATATCTATTCTGGGATAAGATGACTGAAAAGATAGGGGCATCAAAGTTCCAGATGCTTCTTGATGTAATTATCTGGATCCATTTCAAGTGACGTTTTTCCTATGGTGCTAAGAATGATTTGGTTGCCTCGGATTATGTCCTATGGCAGAAAGTTGATGGAGATGAATGTGATCCTTCTAGTTTTTCTGGAAATCTCAAGAGCTGCAATTGCCCTCCACAATGTGTCCTTATGGACTGTGTGCTGGAATTGGCCTTGAGAGGCACTGTTTTGCAGTAATTCAGATCTTTTGGATGCACCCTAAATGTAAGGTTGTGTGAATTATTGCTCAACATCTAGATCACTGATTTACAGAAGTCCAGAGGATTCGGTCTCAGAGGGTTCAGTCTCTTCCTCATGTTGTTTAACATCTACATGAAACTGTTGTGGGAGGTCATTTGCAACTTTGGGATGTCACAATGTCACTTCTACACTCCCCATTATCTATTTCAAAGGAAGCAATTAGTGCTTGGAATGTTGGTTAAATTCAGACTGAATGGAGAAGAATAAACTGAAAAAATGTAAGGTGCTACTGGTAAGAAGAATGGTTGACTTGAGGTTTAAATTGGAACCTGCTTGGAATGGCACTGTTCTCCTCCAGAAAGAGCAGATTTCCAGTCTAAGAAAGCTCCTGAACTTGAGCTGTCATTCAGTTATTAGGGGATAGCTGTAAAGAGAAGCATGTTTGCACAACTATAAGGGCTCTGAGTGCTGCCTCTGGCACCCATGCCATAGGTTCGCCACTACTCTTCTAGATACATCCTATCCCAACAATTGCTTTATGTGGAGCTGCTCTTAAAAAGTATCTACAAATTGCAGTTGATGTAAATTGCAGTGGACAAGCTACTGATTACTGCAAGGAACATCAATCATAAGATATCCGGCCTGAGAGATCTTCATTGATTGTCAATTGCTTACTGGAGCAATTTAAAATTTTGGTTTTGACCTTGGCATTCCTAAACAGCTTAGGACATGAATATCCGATTTTCTCATTATGAAGCTTCCAATAACTTGGCTTCCTGGCTCTTTTCCCATTGAATTCCTCCTTTTCTGTTGAATGAGCTCCTTAGCCCATTGAATCCTTTACTTTCATTCACCTAATGCAGCAATCTTTCCCAGTTGGTAACTCTTTACTTTGGCACCTTTGAAAGATGGATGGAAGAGAGTTATTGACATTAATTATTAAGAGGTTTACTCTTGGGGGACTAAGTATAATCATTTCATTTCAGCTAACTTGCATGTAAAACCCCCAAGAATATATGCTTAATCCAGTCTTCATAGTGTGACAGTTTAACCAATTACAAGTTTAAAACCCACATTTAATTTCCAAAGTCATTTACTACATTTAAAATTTATAAATGTGAGTTTAATAATTGAACAAGAGAAGGAATAAATTAAAAGACAAATCCCTTGCAAATGCAAATCTTTTGAAAATACAAAGCCTCCTATGACTCGTATTAATCATAATGGCATTTATCCTTTGGCTAGGAAGTCAGGTTCCTACATTAGGAATGCTAAGTCCTCCTACTTTGCCTTGCAGTTACTCTGTGAAGATGTAAATGTTGACCGCTTTTTTCCTGTGCTGTATCCTAAGGTAACCCCTTTATGTTTCTAAACGTGCCATATAGATTTTTTTTTCTCCAAGCACTTGCCTGCTAATTCAAGCTTTTTCTCCATCTCCTAGGCTTCCCAACTCATTGTTGCCTTTGATGAACATGTCATCAGCAATAACTTCAAGTTTGGCGTCATCTACCAAAAATTTGGGCAGGTAAGAATACTTTTCTCTCTCACATTTGTTGCTCTGGCTTTCCATCCAATGTATATCTGGAGAAACTGGAGACAAACCTCCATTCCTTCCACTGCATCCTCCCTCTCTTCTGCTGCTTGTATATAGTCACTTCTTTCTTGTTAATCTTATGCCCGCTCTTCTCAGCCACTTCTGCCTTAAATCAGTAATTGAAAACAGGAGCAGTGGGAAATAACAGGCAAGGCTGGTGGGAAAAAATTGCTTCAAAGGTTTGGAGCCATTTCAGGACATATGTTACTCCTTTTTGAAGAAAAGGTCAGTTACCTTTTGCTCCTTAATTTAAGTGGAAGAATACAGTATACCTATTACTAGAGATATGGATTTGGGGGGGGGGTTCCTTCTGCAGATGAATATGATTCTACCTCAATATCCTGCACGTCTATTTGGGGCTACACTATTTGATGTGAAAAAAATCAAAATCTAGTCTATTTGGTGAAGGTACAACTGTGCATTCAAGGAAATTAAAAGCTTTGATGTGCGGAGAAAAAATGCTTTGAGTGTAATGTTGGAAACAATGTTGGTCAATAGATAATCAAACTCCATATAGTTTTGAAAGTGCTAAATTTGTTTGAAGTGGAAAATATTCTGCAGAAAATTTTGATCTGATAAAGTTTTCTCATTCCACATCTTCGCAGCTTACAGCACAATAACTCTGCCAGCATCTGTATTCTCATGCTTTTGTTTTAAAGTGCAGAATAGAAAATGAGTACTCAAACAGCAATAAAAAAAATTAAACAAAATTAACATTTTTTTAAAAGGTAAAACATAGAGGCTGTTTCATGCAGGAAGCCACTCGGTATGCCTCCTACCTTTCTATAAACCTAATATTTATTTCCCCCATTGCATCTAGTTTGGGTGCATCTTTCTTAAAACCTGCACAGGGAAAGCAGGGTTGGGTACAGTCAGCAATTAGCAAATTTTCACTTGCCACATAAAAAGATGAGGCACACTGAAAAGTTCTGATTTTTTCCCCATCATAAAGAAAAGTTTTTCAGACTAGAGTAAAGTAGATACTGAGTTTTCTGCTCCATGCTCAAGCCATACATATTCAGTCTGGAGAATCTTTGTTATTGTTTGAAGAGCTGGTCAGATGAAGGGTGGGGGGAAGGTCCTCCACGAAGACTTAGAAGAGCCCTGGGCCAAGAGTCACATAATAACTATATCATTTCAGACAAGACAACCGCTTGTCTGAAATGATATAGGAACTCCTGCTTGAGAAGGGGGCTGGACTAGAAGACCTCCAAGGTCCCTTCCAGTTTTTATTATTATTGTTGTTGTTGTTTGTTGTTAAGCATCAAAATCACTTTTCTTGGGCATTTAAGGCTGTGCTCTGCATTAACGTAAAGTTTACCATTGGAATTGCAAAGCCAGAGAGTTCTTTTTCATAGGCTTCATGAGGGTTACGGGCCAACCAAGAATAAAAGCAGCTTGGTAGTGTCTCACAGGCCCTGCATTGGCAGCCTAAACCAGCACAGCATGTTTCATCATTCTGTGGGTCAGGGAAAAATGAGGAAGTATGGAAGAGGAAGAGACAGTAGGAGTTTTATTTCTCTATTTACATTATATATATATGTAGGTCTTTGGTTATTCGGGTTTTCTCCCGCGTAAAATTGGAAGCGTCTTGGCGACGTTTCAACGAAGTCCCATTCGTCATCTTCAGGCTGGTGTTTTCAGCTTCGTGCTTCGAGGAGCACGAAGCTGAAAACACCAGCCTGAAGATGACGAGTGGGACTTCGTCAAAACGTCGCCAAGACACTTCCAATTTTACGCGGGAGAAAACCCAAATAACCAAAGACCTACATACAAACACCCGCAAAAACCTCAGAAAACATATATATATTTCACCCCAAATACATTTCACTCCTGTAACAATTCTTTAAGGAGGTTGACAAGGCTGGGAAAGTGGCTTGTCCGGAATCACTCAATGAGGTGAATGACTTACTATGATTGAACCTGAGCACCTCAGCTATACACCATTTCGCACTTGCATCCTTTGTACACAAGGATCCTAGGATCATTTAAGAAAGAATGAGAAATGGCTGTCTCCTCCCACTTTCTTTTCTTCTTTTTTTATCCCCAGACAACAGAGGAAGAAGTCTTCAGTAATACAGAGGAGAGTCTAGGCTTCTTAGAGTTTTTAGATCTCCTGGGTGATAGGATTCAGCTGCAGGATTTTCGTGGGTAAGTGCTTTCCATGTTATGCCTACTTCCAAATCATCTTTCCTGTATTGCTCTTGATGGCCTTCTTTTTAAAATATATTTTTTAATAAAGTTTTTAATAAACACAGTAAAAACTAATACAAACTAAACTAGAAAGTGCAGAAAAGAAGAACAAAAAGAAAAAAGCAGAAAAAAGGCAACAATAATAATTAGGAAGCGTCTTTCAAGTTTTGTCTCACCAAGCATAATATAATAACATTTTGCCCTCTTTTAAAGTTACAAGTAAAAACCCTTCTCCCCATAGCCTAGCTTTTTATCTGCAGTTCAGATAAAGTCACCTTTTCAGATGGCTCAGCAAAAGTCCATTAAGAGTTACCAGAAATATTAAACAAATAATTTATCCCTGATCAAACAGTCCAACTTTATATTCTTTCTTTTTGCTCTTCACAATTTTAGCCCTTAACTCATTCCAGTGGGTTTTTCATCAATCATTGGCATTTAAGACGAGACTTCAAAGCTTTCACCAGCCTACTTTATAAATCCCATAAAGAGACCTTGTCCAGGATTTCTTGTTGCAGCTGTTCCATGTCCAGATCCTTTTCTTGATTTGTTCTTTTTGCATTCCCATTTTGGGGATCTCAATTTTGTTGTCTTTCATGTCTTCAAACTTTATAATATCCATACCATGTAAATGTTTTTAATTTTTTTTCTCATCTTTTAAAAATTTATCTATTGAAATTTGTATTCTGAGATTTTAGTTAACATTTTGATCCACTTTTCAAAAACTTTAGGATAAGAAAAGGTTATAGCTAACTTAGCCATTTTGACTTTTTTTTTTTTTGGCTTGGCCCTTTAGTTCCCTCTAGTGTCCATTTGCAACCTTCATCAAGTCTCAGTTCCTAATATGGGTTTGGTTCCATTTTAGTCATTTTCAACAAATATATTATTTAACCACCTACTTGTTTTTTTAGATCTTATAGCAAAAATAGCCAATATTCCAAATCTCCTAATCTATTTAACTTTCTTAAATCTTAAATTTTTTTGCTTACTGTATTTTATTTTAAATTCTATTTTTTAATAATTTTTTAATTAATTTTCTAATTTTACATTTAGGTATTTAAAAAGAAATGTGATGGCTGGGTTAATCAATAGTTCAGTAACATACATTTTTTTTTAGTACAAATCTCAAACTACAACCTCAAATATTTCCTCTTTTTTTCCTTTAATATCTACTATCGCATATTTAAGCTAATACAGTTCTTATTATATCGACTAAATAAAAATATCATTATTACATTTATCAATAATTTTTTAGCTTATACATATCTTAAGTACTTTTACATTCAATCTTTACATTTAATCAATGTCCTGTTATTAGTTTTTCCCAATTTTTAGTTTTCCATCAATATTCAAATTAACATTTAATATTTATAATTTCCAAGCTTTAGGTAACCAAAGTTTCCTTTATCTCAATTCATAACAGAATCTAATATTCAAAATATACATCTTATCTATTTGGGTATAATCTTGTTCTATTTCCTAAAAGTTATCTATTCCCCCCCCTCCATCTTACATCATCTAATTAATAATACAGTATCCCCTTTTGGTTTGTAGCATGGTGCCTTAACCAGTACAACAGACTGACTCACAAGTGAGTTCATTTATCTTTACCGTCTTAAAAGAGCCCCTCTGGCTCAAGCTCAGCCCAAATGAGGGAAGGGTGCTATAATATGCTAATAGGAGGTTAACTGATTCCTTTAAAATAGTGAACATGGAAGGGAAATGATGCAAATAACAATTTTCACTGAAGTGGCCATAGGTTTCCTTAGTAGCTTATTTTTTTTTCTCCTGAGATATGTATCAGACTAAAAGTTTTGACCAATAGTAGTAGATGCAATTATTGTAGGCATGAATTAGGTCCCCATCTTTGATAATAAAAAAATAATAATTTTGTCTTCCTTTTCTTGACTTTCTTTCCCTTTGCCTTCCCTCTGTTGTTCTCTTCAGATTCCGAGGTGGACTGGATGTCACAAGAGGTCAAACAGGAACAGAATCTGTCTACACAAATTTTCGGGGCAAAGAGATCATGTTCCATGTCTCTACAATGTTGCCTTTCACTGAGGGAGATGCCCAGCAGGTATGTTGAGCAGAATTGGGAAGAGGGCAGAGTTTGTCTTCAGATATTGTCAATTTGAGGCTAATAAAAATTCATAGAGAAGGACAGAATGGGCTGCAATGTCTCCTTGGGAACCTTCAAATTATCTAAATTGCTTATTTTTTCCAGAATGAGAAGGCAGCATGAACTCACTTCTCAGTATTTGCAGGATAGATATTGTACCCTAAAACCCCATTAATTGAGTGCACTTCCTCATATGACTGGGGAAATTGAAACAATGCAATCTGTTCTATGTATATTGTTCTTACAGTGTGTTATATTTTGGCCCTCTTATACTTATATTCTGTGTTAAATTGCTTCATTTTAGACCCAAACATTCCGGCATGGTAGCCAAATAAACTATAGTGAAAATTAGGCAACAGGTATTTTATTTATTTATTTATTTTTGTTTTATGCCTCGTTTTATGTTTTATATGTTTTTGTAATTTTGCTAATTGTTTATTATAAATAATAAAAAAAATCTGTATTTAAATTTAACTTTCAGCTGTGCATGAATTGGAATTTGACAATAATGATAAGCCAGGATTGAGGATTTAGTCTTCGATTCAAACTCTGCTACAGGGGTTATTTTGAAGTCATTCATAAATTTCCCAATTTAGTTGGGTTATGGTCATTTTTAGTCCTGTGTGAAAAAAAAGAGAAAATAAAATGTATATAAGTGCAAAATATTCTGTCTTACAGAATTGGATAGCCAAACTCTGGCCCAGGGCTGAACAAACCTTTAGAAAAGACCACAGTTTCCACAGTAGACTGGTGGAGCTATGATTTTTGTAATTTCTTGTATTTGGTGGGAAGGAATTTGGCAAGAATTCTTTATATCTAAGTGTCATTAAGTCAATTTTAGGATTTACACCAGCTTTAAGTTTAGGTTTAGGTTTCCTGTTCCAAAATAACAGAATGGCACCATTGTTTTTGAGCAACAGAAATTGGAAGGGATGTCAGGATTTGCAGGGGAAAAGATTCAAGTTGTAGAATAACGAACATTTTATTTTATTTTATTATTTTTATTTATTTTAATTTTATTATTTTATTTTATTATTTTTTAACTAATTTATTAATTTTTTTATGCCATCCATCTTCTACAAGGTGACTGTGGGCAGCTTAGAACCTTGCTTGCTACAAACATTCCTCAATGTGGAATAGGATGGAATTGATTTGAGGATTGCCTAAACTGTGTAGGATAGGTTACTATTTTGTGCAATCTTCTTTGTTCCCTTTCAGCTCCAACGCAAGCGCCACATCGGGAACGATATTGTGGCCATTGTCTTCCAAGATGAAAATACTCCTTTTGTGCCCGATATGATTGCATCAAATTTTCTACATGCCTATGTGGTGGTGCAACTCCATCACAATGCCAGTGGGGAGACTCTGTACAAGGTAAATGCTCACACAGTACACAATTTACCATTCCTGGGGAAGCCATATAATGTTCTGTGGCATTACAGTGCCTACTGCATTCTGAGTTCCTGTTTTATCATTCTCTAACTTTTATATTGTCACTACTGTTGGACTATCCTTCTTTTATTCCTGAGCAACAATCATTAGTCTATGCTCATATTTTGGGGAGAGTAAACAGATGTCAAGAGGAAACACCATGTTCTCCCTTTTCTTTCTTCAGAATCTCCAGTCCATTCTTGTTCTCATTTTTCAACAAAAATAAAATATATGTATTTCTTCTTCCATGCATGTGTAAGGTAAAAAGTATGCATTAGCCATAATATGGTGAGAGTAATTATCCTTGATGATAGTTCTCCAAAGAAATACTGTAATTGCATTAAAAAGGGCCTATGACTTTAATATCAATACTATACAAATATCTACGCAAAGTAATAGTATACAGCTTCTGTTATTGTGTGGGTCTATGTGCAAAGGGCAGTCCTCAGTCTCAATGGTGTGACCACCATCTTGCCTGTTTTGACCCCCTGGTGGATGCTGTGGCCTTACTTGTTATGTAGATCAGGCATTCAGAAACCTAAAAAGAATAAGGGAACTAAACTAAAGGATGCTAATAATTAATTTAGCATTTCAGAATGGCACTGCTTAAATTAACTAGAATTTTTAAAATTCAAGCATCAATAGAGCATGAACTGTATCAGGATCTAAATCAAATACTTAAACCATCAGTAAATTTATATAAATCTTTATAATATAGTAAACATTATATATTTTAAAGAATAGAATAGAACAGAACAGAACAGAACAGAATAGAATAGAATAGAATATCTTATCTTTATTGGCCAAGTATGATCAGACACACAAGGATTTTTTTCTCCAGTGCATAAGCTCACAGTAAAAATATAAACAGCAAGTAATAGATCATAGGTCATAATCGTAGTTACAATCATTAATCATAAGTTACAAACAACTGATAAATCATAAGAAATCAATAGGAGAAGATAGGAAAGATGAGAAAAGATGAAAAATGAGATGTTTTGGGAATTAAGTGTTCATCAGAATGATGGCACAGGAGAAAATCTTTATATCTGGTTGTTTTTGCATGCAGTGCTCTATAGCAGCGTCCTGAGGGGAGAAGTTGAAATAGATTATGTCCAGGATGTGAGGGGTTTGTAGATATTTTCTAAGCCCTCTTTCTGGTTTGTCCTCAATGGAAGGCAGGCTGCTTGCAATTGTTTTTTCTGCAGTCCTAACTGTCCGTTGAAGTCTGTGTCTGCCCTGTTCGGTTGCTGTGCCAAACCTAACAGTTATTGAGGTATAAATGACAGACTCAATAATTCCTCTGTAGTACTGTATCAGCATATCCTTGGGCCATCTGAGCTTTCTGAGTTGACACAGGAAGAACATTCTTTGTTGTGTCTTTATAATCAAAGTTTCTAATTTCAGGTGTCCTTTTCAAGTCCTTGGAGATAATAGAACCGAGACACTTGAAGGTCTCTACTATTGATACTGTGTTGCCTAATATTGTAAGAGATAGAATGGAAAATATATGAAATCTAGACAAAATTCCCTCCCCATGGAATTTGGAAACGTATGATTATTGTATTGGGGAATATAATTGAATAAAATATAAAAAGTAATCAAAGTGGTATAATAAATTAAAATTAAAGCTAACTGCAAAGAACTAGAATAAAAAATTCACAATAAACAATAGCTTGATCAAATGCTTGATTTTTTTAAAACCAGTTTTACAATGCTTCCTTCTTCTTATGGATCAACGTGGCATTAAAAATGAAACTTGTAACTGGAGTGTTGTCAATCCCATGCTTTGGAGACAGGTTGGCAGAAATATAACTTGCTTACTAATTCTTGTCTTAAGGCTGTAGTGATCTTTCTGCTGTCTCTTAAACTGTTAATTATGATTGTTTCAGGTTTCTGTGACTGCCCGGGATGATGTTCCCTTTTTTGGACCCCCTCTTCCAAATCCAGCAGTATTCAAAAAGGTTGGTATGTCTGGTCCCTACAGTAGCTTTTTCCGACACTGCAAGCTGGATATTTCTGCAGATTATCCAGGACTGGGAAAATCTTATATGATATCAAATACTCTTATTGATCTAATCCTTCATTCTGTGGTGCGCAGTTCAACTGTCTGAGAAATAATCCTTCTTCCCCTTTTAACACAACAGCCAATTTGGAAGCAATGATTGCAGTTCATTTCACATTGTCAAACAGTGAATCAAACAACAAGACAACAGCATCAAACAGTTAATCTTACAAACAGATCTTGCTTTTCTGCTTTTTAGACCCACCTGGGCAAATCTGAAACCTATTTTTTCAGATTTGGGGACTGTTTCAATTTATATCCAACAGGGAGGTACAGAGCAAATTCCAGCTGGAAGGATTTAGAGTTTGCTGCAGTAAGGAGTCAGCAAGCAGGAGCAGGGAGATTTTTATAGATCTGTCTCTTCTGTTCCTAAGTCATGGGTGCATTCCATTGACAGGTGCAAGAGCATTGACTGAATTCATGTTCTATTAATGCTCATTCATGTTGCAGTCCCCAATATATATCCTGAGGTAACAGGAACAATTGAGACTCTTCAGTGAAACCTTGATTAGGTAAATCTCTTGGGTCTTATAGGAAGTACTTGACTTATGACTGGTCACTTAGCTACTGTTCAAAGTTATGATGGATCTCCCAGTGGTTCTTACAACCCAGTCCCAAACACCAGTCCCCCACAGTCATATGACTGCATTTCTTGGCAACTGGCCCATATTTATGACTATTTGCAATGTCCCACAGTTATATGACCACATTTTATGATGTTTTGCTAAAAAGTGCCATTTAATCCTGGTTTTTGGGAAAAAAAACCCCATCTCATAGTGAACTGACTGTTTAATAACCAACATTAAACATTAAAGGTCATAATATCCAAGCTAGAAGCTTGGGCATCCCACTTTACAAACATCAGCTCTATTACAGTTGTAAGTTAAAAACTACTTGTATTACACATTCCTGCTGTCTGTGTTCTCTTCTGTGCAAAAGAATTCCACATCTGAAGAAGAGCTCACACTCTTTTTATATAGAAGAGGATTTTTTCCCCCTATAAGAATCATGTACAATATATTATCGTGGGGGAGAGCAACTTTATAGCCACACAGTCTAAACAAGGCCATATTAAAGTATATTTCAATGCATTCATCAAGTATATGCTGTGAATGGAATCATATTCTTAAGACATCCTTCTGGGTTCTTGTATTTCCATAAAGTCCATGTTAATTTGGCTTGCTAAAAAGCATTCTCAACCCTCCATTATTTTTTTATATAATATTTTATTAGTTTTCTAATTTTACAATTAAGTATTTTGAAAACAACATGGTGGCTGAGTTAATCAATAGTTCAATAACATACATAAATCTTTAATACAAATCTCAAGTTACAACATCAAGTATTTCCTCTCTTTTTCCCTTAATATCTACTATGTCAGTGATGGCGAACCTTTTAGAGACCGAGTGCCCAAAAACTGGCTCTGCCCCCCCATCCCCCACCCTGCCTGCCCACAGGACCACTCACCGCCTCCAGGGCCTGCCACAGATCGCCCAGGCAGCCCAGCAGTGCTATGGCGGCCACACCCTCTGCCCGCGCCCTACAGCATCAACTGCATGATGGGGTGTGAGGGCAGAGTCTTGTCTACGCTGCCTGGCTGCCATGTCCTTGGCTGTGCTGCTCCGTGTGGGCCACCCTCAAGGGCGGCTCTCCTTCAGGGGGGCTGCTGGAGAGGAGGTTGCGGGGGGAAGCAAGTTTGGGGCAACGGCACATGTGCCCACAGAGAGGGCTCCGAGTGCCTCCTCTGGCACCCGTGCCATATATTCGCCACCACTGTACTATGTCATATTAGGCTAATACAGTTATTGTTATTATCAACTAAGTAAAAACTTCATTATTACATTTATCAATAATTTTTAGCTTATACATATCTTAATTGTGTTTACATTCAGTCCTTATATACAATCAATGTCCTGTTATTGCTTTTTTTCCCAAGCTTTAATTTCCCATCAATATTCAAATTAACATTTAATATTTATAATTTCCAAGCTTTAGGTAACCAAAGTTTCCCTTATCTCAATTTATAACAAAATCTAATACCGTATATGCCGCCGTATTAGGCGACCCGGCATATAAGACGACCCCCGTCTTTATAGCCGGGCCGCATTCCTAGAACGTCGTCTTATACGCCGGAAACTACCAGTATTTCCGGCGTATAAGACGACTCGGTGTATAAGACGACCCCCGTCTTTGGCGCCGATTTCAGCGCTCGCGGAAGTCGTCTTATACGCCGGCATTTACGGTATTCTAAATACACATCTATTTGAGTATAGTCTTGTTCTGTTCTGTTCTATTTTCCACCATATTAAATCATCTAATTAATAATACAGTATCCCCTTCAATAAATCAAAACCATTGTATATATTATCTGGGTTAATCAATAAATCAATAATATTCATAATTTTCAGGCTCTTAAATCTCATATTTTAAGAAGTGCTTTATTACATGTCTGGAAGAAGTATTATTACAAGTTAAATTATAAAATACCAATCTGGGGGATTCCTGGACACGTGATAGAGGGGGTATCTATGGGTGTGAATTCGGATAGGATTTCTTATAAGGAATTACTTAGATTGGTAGGGAAGGATTGGCAATTAAAATCTTTAGTTGAGTTAAAGCAAGAAAATATTGTACAGTCTTGGTTTCAGTGTAATCAATTGTTGGCTAGGTGGAAGTTAGATCAAAAGGTTGGTATTACATTAATGGATGAGAATTTGGTAAAACAGATTAAAGATCAAAATCAAGCCCATATAAAGAGAATTTATAATGTTTTAATAGAATTGGACTCGGAAATAGAATTAGTTAAAGATTGTATGGTAAAGTGGGCTCAAAATATTCAAGAACCGATTCCATTGGATATATGGGAGGTAATTCGGGTTAGAAATATAAAATTTACCCAGGCCCAAAATTTAAGAGAGAATTTTTACAAAATGTTTTATAGATGGCATCTGGATCCTAAAAAGTTGTCTTGTATGTATCCTAATTTACAGCCCAAATGTTGGAGATGTGGTAGCTTGGATGCTACTTAATTTCATATCTGGTGGACTTGTAGAAATATAAAAGCTTTTTGGATTAAGATTTGGTGGAACATTCAAAAGATTTTCAGGAGAAAGATAAAGTTTACCCCACAATTATTCTTATTGGGTGTTATTGTAGATTGTGATACTAAAGAAACTAATTTAATGTTGAATTTGATAACAGCTGCAAGGTTATTGGTAGGGCAATACTGGAAGAAGGATTGTTTGCCTACTATAGAAGAATGGACGCTTAAAGTGTCAAATTTAGCAGAAATGGCTAAAATTTCTGCTTATCTGAAGGATCATTCACAAGAAAGATACATTTCGGTCTGGAGAAGATGGATAGATTATATTCAGAATAAATATGGGACTAAAAAGTTCCATTTAGTTTATGAGTAAATTTTAGAGTATTATTATTATTATTATTATTATTATGAGTTTATTATAGTAGAATTTTTATTAGTTTTATTATTATTTTTAGTATTAGTATTGTTTAACAATTTGGATATTGTATTGTTTAATAATTAGGATGTTAACTTGTTTATATTATTATGTTTACTGGAGCTAAAGCGCATTATGGACTTGGTTATTTATATAGTTGGTTAATGTTAGTTAGAGTATGATTATTATATTTGTAACCCTGTACTCAGCTCTGGGAAGTGGGGGAGGGAGAGGGGGGGTTTAGGGTGGGTGGGTTTTGGATGTATATTATAACTTTTATAACACTTTTCAATAAAAAAAATAATATTCATAATTTTTTTCATTTAGGTCTAATTTTTAAAAGTTCAAATACTCCCTCTCTTTTTCTGGTAATATCTTTTATCTCATATTAAACAAACAGAATTATTATTTTCAACTGATTTCCAAATATTTTAAATTAGGTGACCAAAATTCCCCTTATCTCAACTTCTCCCTTTTTCCCTTTTCATACCAAGGTCTATTAGTCTTGTTACACATATTACCTATTCAATTATAATAACATTTTATTTTCTAAAAAATTTCTATTTCCCACCATATTCAACCCTCTAATTAGTAATATGAAATCCCCTCTAATAAATCAAAACCCTAATTTTCTTCAGCCTTATTCTGGCTTTCTTCCTTTGCCAACTAGCCTTCCATGTCAGTGCTTTTCAGTCATCAAATAGATCTCCCTCTATTATTATATTATTTGAAATAAGAAAGACTATTTAGTTGCAGTTTTTTTGGAAGAACTAGCCCATTTATATTCAGTAGATCACCCCCCTATTACTCCAATTCCCACGATTGTCCTGATTAGTTTATCTTCCATTCAATCTGTTCTTCTTTCTTCTCCTCAAATTTCTTCTGATTTATATCGAAAGTCTTTTCCATTTTCAGTGTTGTCACTCCCTTTTCTGAATTTTCCATTGGCTGGATTTGTTGGTCGATTGAGTCCTCTGTCTTAGTGTTTGGTTGTTCCACTTCTCCTGTTATTTTCTGCATTGTTAGTTCTTTCATTGTAGTCATGACCTGGGTTTGTATATATAAGCTGGCATTTTGTTCCTTTATGTTGCATCTTATTTTGTCACAAGCTGAAAGAATGATTTCGTATATTGCTTTCAAAATGGAAAGGATTTTTTCCTGATCTTCATCCATATTCTCTTAATAGTGTGTTAAGTTGAAGACTTTAAAATCAGACATTAAAAATAATTTTTATAACTAGTTTGGGACATCTATTTCACATGTTATAGGTGTCTTTATAGTGGAAATTATTTATCAAGTAAGAATTTATAATCCAAGGTATTCCATCATCTCGTGTAATAACAGATGTTTCTCATATAAAGAAATAGGAAAGCAATTCCTCATGTATAGCTCTGAAAGTCAGTAAAGGTTTACATTCATAGTTCAAGCAGGCCAAATATGCCGCCTGGAAGTTCTCTTTACAGCTGAGTTTCTCACAGATGGTAGCTGTCAAGGTCAGAAGAGTTTCATCTAGTGTCTGGGCTTCAAGCCAAGTCTCTTTTAGGCAATAACAAGTTGTAATACCATACTTTGCCACAAGACTTGGATGAAGGGATAGATGGGGAACTCATCAAATTTGCAGACGACACCAAGCTGGCAGGAATAGCCAACACTCCAGAAGACAGGCTTCAGATACAGAAGGATCTGGACAGACTTGAACACTGGGCACTAACTAACAAAATGAAATTCAATGGTGAAAAAAGCAAGGTTCTACATTTAGGCCAGAAAAACCAAATGCACAAGTACAGCATAGGTGGCACCATGCTCAATAGTAGTAACTGTGAGAGGGACCTCGGAGTCCTAGTAGACAATCACTTAAATATGAGCCAGCAGTGTGCTGCAGCTGCCAAAAAGGCCAAAACAGTGCTAGGCTGCATTAACAGAGGGATAGAATCAAGATCACGTGAAGTATTAATACCACTCTTCAATGCCTTGGTAAGGCCACACTTGGAATCCTGCATCCAGTTTTGGTCACAACGATGTAAAAAAGATGTTGAGACTCTAGAAAGAGTACAGAGAAGAGCAACAAAGATGATTAGGGGACTGGAGGCTAAAACATATAAGGAACGGTTGCGAGAATTGGGTATGTCTAGTTTAACGAAGAGAAGGACAAGGGGGGACATGATAGCAGTATTCCAATATCTCAGGGGCTGCCATAAAGAAGAGGGAATTAAGCTATTTTCCAAAGCACCTGAAGGCCGGACAAGAAGCAACGGGTGGAAACTAATCAAGGAGAGAAGCAACCTAGAACTAAGAAGAAACTTCCTGACAGTGAGAACAATTAATCAGCGGAACAGCTTGCCTCCAGAAGCAGTAAATGCTCCAACACTGGAAGTTTTTAAGAAGAGACTGGACAGCCATTTGTCCGAAATGGTGTAGGGTTTCCTGCCCGAGCAGGGGGTTGGACTAGATGACTTCCAAGGTCCCTTCCAACTTTATTACTATTATTATTATAAGATGTCACCGATGCCATTTAAAGCTTTTTAACTCCAAAGATTTTATAATCGTTTTTCAAGTTTTATTTCTTTTTTTAGATAAAAACAAAGATCTCCAGTAAGAATAGGAAAACTTTTAGTCCTCAAATTTCAGAAGCATATAGATCCAATTAGATTAAAATTGTTCTTATAGTGCTTTGATTCCCCTGGGTAGTCAGATGCCGCTGTTCTTAGAGGGTGGGGTAGAAATTCCCTTCCCTCTCTCCTCACAGGGGGAAAATATACTTTGGGCAGCTTTTACAGGAAAAAATACTTAAAGTCTTAAAGAGAAGATCAGATCTCACCGTTTTATCCGCCTTGCTTTAAAGGTGCTTGATGGTAATTTTGACTTCGGCTGTCAGCAGCTTAGTGACAAGCCATATTGCTATGCCCCAGATCAAGCGGAAGGGCTGCCGCCCTCCTGCGATCAAGCAGGGGTCACCTCCTTGCTCATCACCCCTATAGGGTGACTTTCGACCCTTTCCAGGGTCTCCCAGCAGGACGAAATCGGGTATGGAAGATGGAGCTCGCCTTCCAGCATCCGTAGGAGCCAGAATGGCAAACCAGAAGCCCCAACCCTCCATTCTTAAACCAAAATGGTTATGGTTCTCATTGGTTAAAGTGAGAAGAGACCCTACAGAATGTCCAACAGGATGGTGGACCCTTCCTTTTTTCCTCCTTACAGGGCGCAGATTTCCGTGAATTTCTTCTGGCAAAGCTTATCAATGCGGAGTATAGCTGTTACCATGCCGAGAAATTTGCCAAGTTGGAAGTAAGTCTGGTTACTTAATATGTTTGTATTAATAATTTCTCAAGCAAATATCTGTATGAAACAAAATATATGAAATGAAAATGCACAATTAGCAATATATATAAATTGCTGAAATATCAGCTTTGGAAAATTCCTCCCAATGTTATTTACATTTAAGATTCCTAATGGTTGGGAATGGATGAAAAGAATTTGATGCCCTTTTAAAATGAACATTTCCCTCAAGAAAAGGATAATTTCTCAAGTAAGGACATAATCGCATGGTATACATTTTTTGCCATCATTTCTGGCTTTAATGTCTTACAGTAATGATCATCAATTACCCTGGAACATTTGGATGAAGCTGGATCAGAAACTGGCTGTATTTGGAAGTGGGGTGGTTAAAGGCTTTCCTGAAATATTTGTACAGTTTGGTTCATGTAAATCTGCTTGAATATATCAGCAGTTGATTTGTATGAACTCTGTCCAGTAAAATAATATTTAATTTGCTACTATTTGCTAGTTTAGCTGTACAGGCTTTCAGAAATAAATAGAGAAGTTACTGATTACAGTCATTTCCATTGATTTGTTTCTCCAGTTTAAACTACCAAATTCACAAAACTGAGAAATCACAAAACTTCAGCAAATCCAAAATGAAAAATAGATGTTCTTATTTTCATTTTTAAGAAATTCACCCAAAATCTGATGCCTTCTGATTTGCCCGCTTTTGGCCCTATTAGTTATAGGCCTAAAATCCAGCTGATTAATACTATGGTAACCTTCTTTAAGGAATGTTCAGAATAACTTTAAAAAGGGGGGAAGTGGATGGCTGTATTTATATGATGTTTTTGGCAGATGCATTCTGACTCTTATTTGGAACCTTGGTGAAACCATCCAGGAAAAAAGCTTTTCAATAACATTATATTATTTCTGCTGACTCTATGGTATACAGAAGTGTCGTGTAAAAGGAGAGTAAAAACAACAACAAAAATTAAAAGAAAGCCTGAACTTACTGGCAATAAGAATAAATTATTTTTTACCTTAAAGCTAGTAATTATTTTCATCAACTTGTCAAGATACAGATCTTCATTTTCTGGCAAATTTCAACTAGGAAACATTCTATAGCATCACCACAGAAACATTCCTTTCTCAAAAGATCTCTTGCTGAATCTCTGAGAAGGAATCTAGATTAAGGCTTTTGATATTAATGATAGTTTTCAGGCAGGCATTTCTGAAATAGTTCCTCAGGCAGGGTGGGCAGTTTTTTTGAACTGGAATTTGGAATTTCGAAAGCATACCTGGATGTTCTCTCAAAATGACTGCCCATATTTCCTTTTAAGTATAACCTATGTCTATCTGCCATCTTCCTATTTATTCTTCCTTTTTAGTAGTAGGATCAGGCAGGCAGAATGTCCTCATGAGTTTATTTGCCCCTTCTAGTGTTGGCCCTTTTTAAATGAAAAGCACAGTTAGTATACATTTAAGTAAATAAATAGGAGACTTTCGAACTGAACGCAACATCACACAGGACAACACAGGAGGATGTAAACTCAGAACAGTGACTCAACAGATTATGTAACCCATCCAGACATGAAATGGCCTTCTGTTTTGCCTCTTCCTTTTTTCAACATGCACTCCCATAGTTTGACTTGAAATCTTTGACAACATGCTTCTTTTTGTTTCTCTCTTCCTGGAGCAGGAGCGCACTCGCAGTGCACTTTTGGAGAGCCTTTATGAAGAAGTTCAGATTCGTAGCCGCAGCATGATGGGCCTGGCCTCGGGGGACGAAGACAAAATAGAGAATGGGGGTGGTGGCTTCTTTGAGAATTTCAAGGTGAGAGATGGCGTAAATACTGAATTTCTCAATATCCTTCTACATTTACTAACTTGATACTGCTCTGGGTAGTACAATTATAATATTTCACATGTTTCCAAGGATTTATGCCCTGACCATATTTATTCATTTATTTCGATTTATATGTTCACCCGTCTCAACTTTAAGACTCTGGGCAGCTAGTAATAATTAAAATGGCATATAAACATAAAACAATAAAGAAACAATAGCAAACACATAATCTGTTACATACACAAACCCAAGGTAAAAAAGCTACAACACAAATCCTCACAGGTATTGCTTGGACTGAGACCTACATTCAGTTCCCCAGGCCCCTTGACAAAACTATGTCTTTGAAGCCATGCAAAAGGCCCACAGAGTCAGGGGCAATTTAATCTTGAGGAAAGGATGTTCCAAGCAAAAGTTGCCAGAATAGAGAAGGTTCCCTTGCCCCATCAGATGGTACTCCCTAATAAACAGAAAGTCTTTATCGGCACCTTGAACTGCACTCAGAAGTACTGGCAACCAACATGACTGACATGAACAGAGCCTCTCACTCCAAGAATGGACACAGTTGGTGCACAATATAAAGTTGTGCAAAGGCACACTTGGTCACTTAAGTCAAACTTTAAAATATTGCAATAGATAGGCCTGTAACTATATGCTCATATTATATTTGGGGGTGAGGGGAGAGGATTCCAAAGCTGAAAAGGAAACCACAGAATTTCTCACCTCAGAGCTGTTAAGTGCTAGGCTAGCTATCAGTCTATTCATTTTTCTTGGAAAATAAGGCCATGGAAAATCCCAACTTCATGTTTTGAGCACATATTATAATATCTGTAATATAACTCCCACCTGGCATCTCAGCTTCTATGTATCTGAATCTGTACATTAGCTGGAAATGAAAGTGTATTTGATCCTTATGTGGAAGGGAAAGTCTATTTGATCATTTATACTTGAAATATAACACATTTTACATTCTAGGGGAAATTTGTTAAACTTTATTTAACTTGGAACTGCCCATCTCCCTCACAGATGGAGTCTGGTCAGTGTACAATAAATTATTTAAACGTAGAAACAATATATAAATTCTCAAAGAAACTTTCTCTTTGTCTAGTTTATGTAATCTTGCCTCCCCCCCCCCTACAGTGTAATCTTGCCTCCCCCCCTACAGTGGAGGAGAATGGGAATGAGAAATTGGAGAATATGTTGGAAATCTGGAGGCCTAATCATGATGATGCTGTTCCTAAAAATGCTGAAATATGTGTTGTGATATCATAGCATAAGAATTGCCCTCTCATGCTAGCATCCCTGCATTGTATGAAATATATAAGGGGGAGAGCTGGTATCATGGTCCATGTTTCTTCACCTCTGCTTGCCCTCCCACATCCATGCCTGTATTTGAAATAAGCAAAACGTCAGGTGGCTTAATTGTGTTTCACAGGGTATTCCTTTCCACAGCTATGTAGCAATAGCCAGGATCAATTATATGTTGTATATTTGAGTGAAGTGACTAGACTAGACTAGAAAAGGGAATCCAACTCTAGTCTAGAGTTTTGTAGTGGGTACAAAAAGGCATACTCTTTAGTATTTCCTGTGTGAATCAGATCAAGGGTTTGAAGGATTTCAGCCTACAAATCACAAAAAAAAATATTATATTGGTGTTTTTTTTTTTTTGCTCTGTGGTATATGCCATCATAAAGAAAATTGTTTTGCATTTTAGACTGAGAACATACTGTTCTTTTTTTTACTTGGCATAGAATCTGCTTCTGTACTGGTGCTACAGTCCTGGAAAATTTTGTTTATTTATTTAGCTAGTTAGCTTTCTTTAGTCACCAGAGGAAGAGAACAAAGCTTTCTTTCCAGTGCTACCATATATGCTACATAATTCTTTATTCAAATAGATAATGTAATATTTATGGTTGTGGAAATATATTGCCAAAAAATGCAGTTGTGGCTATTTTCCATTTTTCTGTATCTGCACAGAATAATAAGACCTGTGTATACCTTCCTTCAACAGAGCTGCTTTAACACATCTGTAGAGAATTTTGAAAAGACTTTAGCATAATACTTTTGTGTTCGCTCATCCTGCAATTCTTATGCAGGAATGTATTACAGTATTATGTCTGGTGTAAAGTGATAAAAATCTGGTCACAACGAGACATTTCCCTAAGAAAGTAGGATACCTTTCTATGGCAAATCTTTCTATGGAATCCCCCCTGCTTCCAGTCATGAGGTAGGAAAAAAAAAACTAAAGGAGTTACTCTACAATTATTCCAATTCAGACTGCAGACTGGGTTGGTGGCAGGTTAAAAAGGAAATTCCACCAACTTTAATGGGCAATACCACAGGCTATGTGTTTAGGATTGTAGCTTTACATTTTTAATGGTCATACTCTTTGTGCGCATTCAGGTATTAGAGACCCCTATTTGATCATCCTCAGAAAACTCCAAGTCTTTGCTTTCTTTGTTAGAAAGCCTTAATATGAAATCCATGTAAAATAGATATATACAGGTGATGTACAGGTAGTCCTTGACTTACAACAATTCATTTAGTGACTGTTCAGAGTTGCAGCAGCACTTTAAAAAGTGACTTATGACCATTTTTCACACTTACTACTACTGCAGTACCCCCATGGTCACATGACCAAAATTCAGATGCTTGGCAGCTGACTCATATTTATGACAATTGCAGTGTCCCAGGGTCATGTGATTACCTTTTGTGATCTTCTGACAAACAAAGTCAATGGGGAACCAAGATTCACTTAACTACCGTGTTACTAGCTGGACAACTGCAGTGATTCACTTAATAACTGTGGTAAGAAAGGTTGTAAAACGGGGCAAAATTGTATAGATGTGATCTCAGAATAGTACATAGTTTGGACATTCCCCAGGATGTGCTAGTTTGTATTGGGAAGCTTGCAATTTCTAGTTGACTTCCTGAAAACATTTTAAGGAAAGGTTGAATTATAGTCATATAGCCTGGCATTTCTAATTCTTTAACTTGTTTTGTGCTTGAGCAGTACACAGATTATACACAGATATAAAACATGTCACCTGGACATGGGTTAGAGGAAGGAATGTGGGAGGGCAGGAAAGGCTCAAAGTCAAAATAGGTCATGGTTTTGATAGAGGAGAATATTTGTAGGTCAGGGTTGAAATGAGGGGTCCTTGGTGCTCTCTGAGCTTGGTTGTTCTCTTGCAGATGTTCCATTAGTCAAACTAGATAATATCTTCAGTACTATCACTGTCAATATTGCAAAAATTGAATGAAATGAAAGACGTTCCAATTTAGGCTGAAAGCAGTGCTGCCTGGTATGATATAATTTTTGCGGAAGAGCAGTGGAATAGCTGAAAGAAATACATTTCCTATGGAAGTAAAAAGTGAAAGATAAGAGATGTGGTTATGTGTAAAACTGTTCCCAACATAATGGAAGCCAGTACCACTTTTATTCTTTTATGCCATTAAGAGAAAATCATGACTATCTTGATACCATATACCATCATTTTACTTTATTAAATTAATTATTTTTTCAGTAACTGGAGTGGAAGTACTATCTTAGAAAAGATAATTTAATTTTTATTGATGACATTTTCAGGTAAGAACCTTCAGGATAAATACTACCTTCAGGATAAATATTAAATTTGACATGAAAGTTGTTAAATGTCAGGGTGAGTATTCAGAGCATCAGAAGAAGTAATTGATGCTTACATTCAGGAATTCAGGATATGTGGCTCCTCTGCTTTTCATTATACAGTGCTGCATGTTCCAAAGTCTGAGCTGACCAGCCTGGATAGAACTATCCATTAAAAGCTAGAAAATGAATTCATATTTCTTTTGAGGTTACATCTTACTTTCAGTACTATAATGTAGATTTGGTATCCCAGCTTGTATCTTCAAGGTTCATATAATAGAGGAAAGAGTTAAGCTAGAGAATCATGATTGTATCTGGTCAGTATCACTTAGAGGAAAGCAAAAAAGTTCTTAATGAAGACTGTAGCCTTGGATATTGGAAAAAAATATTTTCTTTGCTTGAGATCCAGTACTGAGAGGAAGTCCAGGGTTAGTTTTCTTTGCCTCCCAGTTCTTATCCAGCAGCATTTCTACTACTCTCTGTCCTTTCCTTGTGTGTGTATGTCAATGTCTCTGTGTCTGTTTCCCTGTTGCCCTTCTCTCCAGCGGGTGATCCGAGGCCGTAGCCAGAGCCTGGACACTATGGGGATAGCCATGAGGAAACAGCAACAGCAGCAGCCCCCAGCAACTCTACCCAGCCGCCCAGCTACTGCAGGCCTTGCCCTCAACCCAAGTATCGCCGAGGGCCCCAAGGCTATTGCTGCGGTAAGGTTTTGTGGGATAGGGACTGGGGAGGCTAATTAGCATGACTTCAGCCCTCTTCCCCATTTTTCTCTAAACCTGCTGCTTGTCAGCGCTCCTTGCTGGTAGCTGTAATTCTGTAAAAATACCTCAGATGTCTATATGGATTTGTTTTCATGTCTCTGTGTTCATTTGTCAGTCATAGATCTCTGTCTTTGGAACCCGACTCACTCCATTAATGTGAAAAGTGGTATAGTGGAAAAACTTGACAATAGGGAGATAATCTAAGGTAAAAGTCAACAAAGATTGAACTGTCACAAATACACCAGATATTTTAAAGGCTAAAAAAATAACAAGCTTTTATTCCAACACCAAAAGACATCAGATTGTTTCCTACCAGCCTCAGATGCCAGTAGCATTAGAGGAGGGCTTTGGGAAAAGATCTTGGTGCAAGAAAGATGATCGTTGAGAGAAATTCAACCAAGGCCCAAAATGGGCAACAGTATATAAGAAAAGCACTGGAATTTTGAAACTGTAAATGGCTTTGTACATGATAGTAGGTTGTCATATATATTTTCTGGAAGACTGGTGGTTGTCAGAATATGGAACATTTTGGCCATTTTATCTCTAGAAAAAAATTAAAAGTGTCCCTTGAGGCTTCAGTAACAAAGCTTAATTAGTAGGCAACAGTATGTTTAAATGAAGGAGCTTGAAAATCCCACATGGCCAAGCTAAGTGATTTCTTGTAGATAATTGTGTGAAACCAGATGGAACTCTTGGGGATTATTTCATGTTAATGTCCTTAATCTAAACTGTGACTTCATGGCACTTCCTTGTAAAACCAATTCTATCAAAACATTATGTTTTCAATTCTCCATCCAATTCAACTAAAGACTTTTCCACGAAGCTGAACTGAAGTGTTTTCCACCCATTAACAGTAATCCATGCAAGCATGAAATTTACTATCCTTGTCATCCATCCCAATTTTCATTGCATAGTCCCTCTTTCCTCTCATTGCCAGCCAATTTCATTGTGTTCTTGACTGGCCATGTTGTGGAGGCATACCAGGAATTAAGGAGATTGCAGGGCATGTTTATGTCAGGTTAGGTGCAAGTTGGGAAGGACCCAAGTAAACGAATGCCATGATATTGAAATTCTTAAAAAATTAAATAGAATAGTATTTCTCCTGCTCTCTGTTTTGGCAATTTTCTGAACCTTTAATTTCACATGCTCTTATTAAGGATAATTTGATAGGGGATATAGCAAATAAAGCCTGTTTCATGATTATTTGACAGCCTCAAATGAAGGAAATAGGAGCAACTAGGATAAGGTTGTTTGAGGTAATTTTCATCAGGCATTAAACCTACTGATGTACACTGAACTAGTTCAGGTTCATTTCTGGTTTAACAGGCATGGAAAGCATTTGGAGAAAGCCTCCTATAGACAAGCTGGGCAATTAGGGTGCAGTTGTCACTATTGTTTGAAAATACGTGGGTTATTAATTAGTCTGACTTGGCCACAGATATGCTTGGGAGGTTTTGGCTGGGATCTACTGTCTTCAAATCATATGTTCTTCCATTCAACCATGGCTCAGTCCACTGTTAATGAAGAACAAACCTTTCTCCCAACACTGAACTTGCAGATCTGGGTCAGGGTACGCATGTGAAGCTGCTGTTTACAATTCTGGGTATTGAAATTACTCGTCTCAGGGGACTACAGTTTTAATTTGTAGCCTGAAGATGACATTGAAATCCATAGTTACAAATCCATGTCAAGATGCTAATTACTTCCTTTCTCTGACCACAACTGTAGATTTCTAGGTCCCAAACTACTTGTTCGAAGGAAAGCCAGGAGAAGAAAGCTCCATTTGGAGAAATTATGTGCACAGAAAATAAATGCTAGAATGACATGTAGATATTGACATTCTGTTCAAGATGCGTGTTGCTTGTTATCAGTGATATAACAAAAAATTATTTTGAAGGAGGAGAGAGGTTCTGGATATTCAGGAAGGGAAGGACACTAGACCATCATTTTTAATGGTAGTTGAAACTTACTTTAAACTCAAACTGTGGTTCTGTATACTTTTCTCTCTATTTTCCTTTCTCCTTCAATCTATATTGTCTCTCCTGTCTTGGCGCCAGTATCACTCTATATATCTAAAGTATTTCTCACTGTTGTCTCTGCAGTTACTAGTTTATTGCTTTTAGTGTATTGCTTTTTCTTTTCTTACTCTACATTTTTCTCTATTGAATTAGCTTATCTAGCTTTCTACGTTTGACAACGCCACATCATATATACTGTCTGGCATGCTGCACAGGTTGATTTGTTAGCATTAAATGCATAGCCAGGATCTGGAAATCTAGTTCTCCATCTTTTGCTCCTGTTCCAACTCGTGCTTTTCTATTTCTTTCCTCCTCCTTCCTCTTTTTTTCCTTTCTATCATTTCCTCTCCACTAGTCCTTTGCCCTGCCTGGGAGAAGCCCATCACGCAACCGAGGCAGCCGCTTCAGTGGGAGACGTAGTAGTGCCATTGGCATTGAGAACATCCAAGAGGAAAAGAGGTATGGACCACGGGAAGAATGGCAAGACTAGAAATAGAGCAGGGGGAGAAAACAGTGTTTGGTGCAAGAGTTAATCCAACTTTGTACTCTCAAGGTCTAGTGGAACTGCATCTGCCAGAATTCCTAGCTATCGTGGCATTTAACCAATATGTAAGAGAGGTGCAGTCTGTATATATCAGGAGGGCACTAATTTTGAAAGATGGGGTTAGTATGTCTATATATAGGTATTTGACACAAGAGGTCTTTAGTGCACTTAAAAGGTAATTTTCTTTATCACAGAGTAGCAATTTCAGCTGTAACTTTTAATCTACTGTTGTGACTCATGGGCTCTGATTTATTCCAAAAGCCAAGAGCACTTCTGTCCAAAGCTACTAGCTAATCAAAACCAATTGGAGTGTTCCTCTTTGTTTATCATGCAGCCTGTTGACTCCATTTTCTTCATCTGTGTATCAGTTGTTTTGTTTCTGATGTGTCATCCTGGAGTCTATCAGGATAACTTTCCTAACAGTTCTGTGATTTCTGTGATAAGCATCTTAATGTTTTCATGGGACAATTTCATAGCAGTTAATTTCTTGAACAATTGAAAACTAAAGTTCTGAACTGGGCATAGAATGTAATTTTTGGTTGCAGAATCTAGCTTAAATAGATTAAGAGAACACTAGGTTGAGAAGAGAATCTCCATAGAGAGATGAGAAGGATTCAAGGGAAAAGAAGCAGAGAGGAAGGAACAAATATCATGGTTGACATGAGGATTAAAAATAAGAGAAGGAGAGGCACTGTTTTGCTTGAATCTGGGCCCAAATAATTATCTCACTGTGTTTTTCTGATTACAAACATGTTCCAAAATTATAGCAAACTGATTTGGGGACATGCTAAGGCACCACAAATTAAGCAAAAAGGTCTAAAAGAAACTGATTACATTAATGCATTTGTTGATTTAGATCAGGTTAGGCAACTGTTTTCTGGCTAGGAGCTGCACATATCATAAAATCAAGGTGGTTTGTGAGAGCCAAGGAGGGCATGATAGTGATGTGATGATATAACAAAAACAATCTGTTTAGCCCATTGTCATGTTTCTACATTTGAGTGGGGAGGATTGATCTGCCTTTTTTTTTTTTTTTTGCCTTTTTGTCTAAGTGCAAACCTGTGCCATTGAAATGATTTGTTTTCACTTAAATTTGATAGCTGGATGTTGGAGGGCAGCACAAAATATGAGGCTCTGTGGCTCCATTAAATTTCTGGGGTGCCTGCTACTGGTCTAGATCAGGGATAGGCAACCTCGGCTCTGTTATGACTCATGGACTTCAACTCCCAGAATTCCTGAGTCAGCTAGGCTTACTCAGGAATTCTGGGAGTTGAAGTCCATGAGTCATAAAAGAGCCGAGGTTGCCTACCCCTGGTCTAGATAGACAGATACAGGTACAAGCCAGTAATTTTTGAAGAGCTGAACAATGACATATTCTTAGTATATTCTTTCCGTTGTATGGCATATTAACAATTAACCTTGTATCTGTAAATAATGATGACCCTGATCCATACAGGATGCTTACTCTTTTCTAACTAATTTATCTGCTTCTCCTTGTCTGATTATCAGATGAATATGGTCTGTAATAGTAATTATTTTGGAACAGTACTGTTAATTACTCTGAGAAGCTCCTCACCAACCTTTCAGCTTGTTACAGTATACAAATAACTTATGGAAGCAGTGCCACTGTTACCATACCCTTCAGCCCCTCAGAATAAAAACAAATAAGACCTAAAATCCCTTTCTTTCTATCCTGAAAATGGAATGAAAGCACAAGAAAGAAAAACTTAATAAAAGGAGTGGTATTCAGTCATAAAAGCAACACAGATGTTTTTTGCAAAAGCATGCTAAAGTATTGCAAATGTAATTACATTGAAAATGTCATGCTATTGCAATGTGGTGTTAAAGTTTGTATACAAGTTCTACTTTAGTGATATTATTGGTCAAGTTTTTAAACTGAGGAAGGATGATTAAATGTTTCCTCTTCCTCTAATGGAGAGACAGAGGACAGCAGGCTGTGGCTGAGCAGAGACTTTGTGGTTCACTTCCACACTTTCCTTGCCTCCGCCTCGTCAATAGCCATAGTGCCATTGGTAGGCGCACAATGGTTTTGGGGGAATGAAGTTAATTCAGTTTCCTGCTAGGCTAATCTAGGATCAAGTCCAAAAACTGCTCAAAATGGATGAGGAGGACCCAAAGTAGAACTAGTTCCTGCAGTGCTAGCAGATGTGGCAAGAATGATATACTTTTTTGCAAAGTGAAAGAAACCTCAGCTAATGTTAGGTTTGATGGGAGATCCGAACAACATTTCTGGAGAATGTCTTCTTGCTTTAGTGCAAAATTCAAGGAACTTGTTTTCTTCTTACAAAGAAAGTTAGGAACACTGACTGAAGGAAAAGGGCTAGTTTCCCTTGCCGTATTTGGTTTAAATTAAATTTAGCATGTGTTGTAGCTGCTTTACTTTCAATCAATATGAAAAGGCAACATTGCAGCCTGTCTCCTGAGATCAGAATGCTGTCTCCACAGTCTTTCTTATGAAGGAGATAATTAACTTACCCACAAAACAACTGCTGAAGAGTTCCAACAACATAGGAATAAAGACCAAAGCAGAGTCCTGCTCGATCAGACCTTTAGTAATCTGTTTCTCATTGCTAAACCACCTGCAGAAGGAAGCCCACCAGTCTCGAGCAACTGACTTTCAGAGGCTGTAACACTGCCCTCAAGGCTAATAGCCATTGGTCCCCCATGACTTCCATGAATGGGTCCAACTATTTTGTTTTTTTGAAGCCAGGCAAGCTGGTAGCCAGCATCACATCTCACGCTAGCAAACTTCAAACTTGAATTATGCATTGTGTAAATCAATTGATCAGTTGCAGTCCAAACAAAGGCAATATGGGCAGGGCCCTATGAGTATTTTTCTTTAACCTAAAACTGGGCTGGGACATAACTGCCATGAATCCATGGCTTCTGGTCATCTGAGACATAAAAAACAGTGCAGCTGTCAGCCATAACAACATTTTTCAGCCCAACTCTAGGGACATATGTTTTACAATGAACTGGGAAAGTAATTGTAATGAAGACGTTTTCAAACACTTTGAAAAAGAATAAAACAAGGGCTTTTGTGCTCTGGTGGACACAATCAGAATTTTATCATACTAGAAGTGCTTTTGCAAAATGGTAGCTGGGAGGCTTATTCATTCACTCGATAGTTGCTATGGAAATTTAATCCCTTTCAAAGGACTAATTTATCAGAGCATTACTTCCCACTTGCCTTAACCACCATTACCACCATGAAGCCAGGTGCTCCCTATAAACTCTGCTTATCTTTGTCCTTTTCCCATGTGAATGCAGTGGTGGGATTCAGCCAGTTTGCACCACTTTGGCAGAACCGGCAGCTATTTTTTTGTTGCCCAGGCTCAGAATGGACTTCCGGAAGCGGCATCCACACAGAGAACCAGTTGTTCGCACATTTGAATCCCACCACTGGGCGAATGGATCCATTTCTGAACAAACACTGAATTGCAAAAGCCTTTCATTTAATTGAGAAACCATACTGGGGCCAGAGACACTTTTGGAAGTAAAAAAAAAAAAAAAGGTGCAAGAGATTAATACTTTGTTTTACAGCTAGCCAATATTCCACTGCAGCCCTAAGAGATTAATGAATATGACAAATTCCAAGAGGGATGTTACAGAGTAGCTAGTGTTTTGTGTTTCACGTTGAGGAGGTCCCAAGATTATGAAAAGTAGTTGGATTTCTGGGAAAGGGGCAATCTTTATTCTGACGATTAGAACTTCTGGACATCCATAAAATTAATTAGTCATGAATCTCATAGACTTCGTAGAAGGGCTCTTCTCTCTGTAATAAACAGTTATTCTTTTCTCTCTAGCAAAGATGTGGCTGAAAGGGTACAGAAGGTATTGGAGAGTCCTGGACCCTTCTTTGATCTCAAGTCAGATGGTTCCTCGAGTCCTAGTTCGCCAGAATTCCCTAACAGGAAGAGCAAGTGAGTTGAATGTGGAAGATATATGGGCAGGAGGGATGATTTAAGATTATTTCCACAGAATAAAAAAATATTGCACCTGCTAGTGTTATTAGGGAAGACACCTTTCTTTAATCTACTAGAGCAGGGGTGTCAAACTGCCAGCCCACAGGCCGGTTGCATCGTATGGAGGCGATGCCCACCCCAGCTCCGGCAATGCAAAAAAAGTTGCAACATGTCACGTGACGCGGCGAGTTTGATACCCGTGTACGAGGATTAGGAAGCAGTAATTCAGATTGCTATGCTACATAGGCTGACTTTTGTCAGGAGGGAAGATTAATCTTTAGGATGGGCAAATGGCTCTTGAAGGTTGTGATTCTTTGGCGCTTGTGTTCCTTCAGCAGAGGTCTCTCCAATCAGACATCAGGATATTGTGTGATGCAGCCCCTGTCCCGGTCTTCATCTAATGTGAGCAGCTGTTGTAGTGGAGTGAGAGAGAATGAAACATCAGAGGAGGAGGAGAACGAAGCGGTCAGTGTGGGATCTTTTATTACACCCTTTCATAGAAGCAATCTTCCAGATACAGACTAAGTGACCTCTAAAACTCTTTCCCATTTTTCTTGTACAGGAGTTAATGTGTTCTCTTGAAGGTCCCCAGAAGCAGGATTCCCTGGTTCAGAATGCATGGTTAGATGACAATGTCTGTACACCCAGTAGTACCAGCTCACCAGGTAAACACTGAAATGTTTCTAAGGCATGTCTGCTAGGCAGAGTAGATTCCTTTTATATCATTGGTGTTGTTACAAAACTGTAACTGGCCTATGTTGTCCCACACAGCAGTGGTAGTGAATCATGTGGATTAGAAGGAGTTTTCTGTGTTTGTGGTCCTCAAGGAGTGAAATGTAATCAAAACACACACATAAGAAGAATGCACAGATGTTTGGGGGAGCATAACATTTAGAAAAAGTCTACTCCTCCGCCCACCCTAAAAATGAAGGACTGAAGGTCCACGGAAGGTTGATTAATTGGAAGGGGAGGCATAATGAATAAAGTTCTATACCTGATGATTATGTTTTCTATATAGGCTTCCCTTTCAGAGTAAATGGCAGATGAGAAAATGGAAGAAATGTACAGCATTAATCTCCCCCCCCCAATCTAAGTTCTGATATCCTTCTCCTTTTTCAAAACAGAGAAACAACACACATTTATGATAGGATTTGTCTATTGCTCATTTGGCCTAAAGAATGTTCTGTAACAGCGAGCATTGTAAATTACTAATGCATTATTAGAAATATGTACATTGCTACCTCGGTACTCACCATTAATTAGTACCAAAAATGATGAGTATCAAATGAATGTTTCCCATAAGGAATAATCTAGTGAGTCACAAGACAGCCGACACCAACAAGTTCTAGTTTGTATGTTGAGTACCAAACAAATGATGAGTACCGGGACAAAATTTGTGTGTCAAAATGCATTGAGTATCAAATTTGATGAGTTACAAAGCTACCAAAGTACTCCTATAATTGAAGTACTGCAATTTCTGAACCTATCAATCAGCTACATGGTTACCAGTAGATTTTCAGTATAATTTCATATATTTTTACCATTACTGTGGTGGTACCAACAAGTAAAATTTAATGGAGATTTTTTTTTTTACTTGTTCAGCTGACAGGCTACTTAGAGAACAGAAATGGTGTGGGGGTGTGTGTCTGCGCACACACACCTGCACTTAACCTCATCAGTCCAAGATCGGTGCAGTCCTTACCCAATTGAATTGCAGTCAGCATTTGTGAAATAATTTCAGAATGTAGTGACATCTACATTCTAACTTTTTACCTGGTTTGAGGGCTAAAACTCTCTTGGATGTCAGATAGGTGTCTATTCCAGCAGATGAATGTAGAAACTGTGAAAATTTTCTCCTAGAACTCTCTTAATGAGCTTCTGATGCTAGCGTAAAACTAAGCTGAGTTCACACACATTGGCCAAATTCTCAGAATTTTTTTTTTATTGAAAATTTTTGCAGTTTTTCAATAAAATTACCCCCTCCCACTCCCCCCCAACCCCCCCAGAACCTCCCCCCTTCTTCCCAGAGCTGAATACAGGGTTAACTAAAACTAAAAAAAAAACAAAAACATTTAAACTTAAATAAACATCAAACCAATATAATTACATTCAAAGAACAAGATTTTAAATACTTTAACTCCAATATATATATATTTAAAAAATTACAATTCTAATCATTATCTTAAACCTTAAATATAAATTATTCAAAAGCTAAATAATATTTTCTAATATCATACTTATACTGTATAAAATTTACCCATCTTTTCCACACCAAAAAATATTTCTCTTGCGATTGGTCTTTCAAATAAGCCGAAATTTTTGCCATTTCAGATAAATAAGAAACTTTAAGAAACCATTCCTCCAAAGTAGGCAAAAATTCCTTCTTCCAATATTGTGCTATTAATAACCTTGCCGCTGTAATTAAATTTAACATTAAAATAATTTCTTTATCATCACAATCAACAATAATACCTAACAAAAACAATTGTGGTGTGAATTTTATCCTTCTATTAAAAATCTTTTGAAAATTCCACCATATCTTAATCCAAAAAGCTTTTATACTTTTACATGACCACCAAATATGATAATACGTTGCATCCAGACAACCACATCTCCAACATTTAGGTTGCAAATTTGAATACATACGAGACATCTTCTGTGGATCAAGGTGCCATCTATAAAACATTTTATAAAAATTTTCCCGTAAATTTTGAGCTTGTGTGAATTTAACATTCCTCACCCAAATTGTCTCCCATGTGTCTAATAAAATCGGCTCTTCAAAATTTTGAGCCCACAAATTCTCAGAATTTTAAGATAGAAATTGCATTATTATTACTTATGTACGCTCACAAATCCTCCCTCCTCCCCTACCCCCCCAAATAAGCTATACAAATGTTTAGGCAAGAATGTCAGTGTATCTTAAACAGAAAGATGACTCCCCAATATTCTCCTTGGGTGCTTTTTTAAATTATCTTTTAGATTCAGTCAGGCGCTCTTTATTGCTTCTTTCACGTCTCTTCTCTGTGAACAGAAAATCTCTTAAGTCACTTTTTAGGTTTCCTTTCTAGACCTTTCCACTGAGGTAGAATGGTGCCCAGCTGTCATTAATCTTCCTCGAAAGTTCCAGCTTGATTCTCTTCCTCCATCAAATATCACGGATTCCTTTTTCTACAATGTGGTCGGCTAGTATACCTACCGTATATGCCGGCGTATTAGGCGACCCGGCGTATAAGACGACCCCCGTCTTTATCGCCGAGCCGCATTCCTAGAACGTCGTCTTATATGCCGGAAACTACCAGTATTTCCGGCGTATAAGACGACTCGGCGTATAAGACGACCCCCGTCTTTGGCGCCGAGTTTAGCGCTTCCGGAAGTCGTCTTATACGCCGGCATATACGGTACATGCTATGTAAGTCAATGTCAATCGAGCCAGAGAAGCCCTGTGACAATATAGAATCCAATTACATGCAGGCTTGATTTCTGCCATAAATTGCTAAAAGTATTATTGTTTTTCCCCACTTAGGTTTATGATTAATCTGGCTATTTCTAATTTTGTAACCAAGGTGGGTAGTTGTATGGGAATAATCAAGTGAACTGAGGATCTTGCAGAAATGCTGACAGTTTTTATCTGTACTCTCACCAAGAATATTTTCTTGGGTGCATTCCTCCCCCCCCCCCCAAACAATTACACAAGTAAAGTTCCTTTGAATAAGCTAGATTCCATCAAAACCTTCTTTCAGGAAGTTTTCTGTACAGCATTAGAAATCTCTGGTGCTCTGTAGCCCAAGTACTAAGCAGGTACAATCAATCTAAGAAAAGATTGGTCAGGCACTGCCACCACCTGACATTATATATGTTATGTAAAAGTAGGGGCAAATATATTTTGTTTTAAACCCAAAACGGATACGTTGTGTCTCAAGATTTTGACCAAATTGTTGGGCTGCGATTTGACCAAACCAAAACATGGAATTTGTAGTGGTTCTGGTTTTCAATGTAGACGAATTCTGGAGAGTCTTTACTTGATCAACAGGACAATTGAGGAATATGTTTCTTTCCTCAATTTAGGATAGGTTTGAACAATTGTATGCATTTTTCTGAAGGCTGCTAGCATGCATTTTTGAATGGACTTTTCCCTACCACGTTTAAGAGTAAACTCTCTAATATGCATTCTTAGACATTTGCAGTTTCTCTAATGTGTTCATTTTTCACAATATTCAACCAGGAGCAGATCTCAGCATACACATTCAGTGCAAATTCAGTAACTTCACCTTAATCAAATTAATTTCTTTCTCATTCTTAGATATCCCAGGGAAGATATGTTCTTCTTCCCCCGGCTCTTGAGATTTAAATTCTAAATCCTGGAATTCCAAATCAAAAGATCATCACCAAGTATCTTCCACATAGAAGAAAGAAAAATAGAATTTTACTAAGGAGCATTACCAAATGAGAAATATCCAAATGTGCCATTTGTGTATCATAGGTTGTTGATGATTGATCCTATTCCCAGACTTTTTCCATCACAGCTGAATCCTCCCTAGAATATGCTTTAACTTACTGTTATTTTGTGCTTGGTTCCTTTCAGTAACTCAGCTGCTCCCTTCTAGCAATGCTGCCGGCTCCATGGAAAAGGGGAAAAGCAGTAAAGTGGATGCTCAACGTTACAGCCCAGTATGTTTTTATACTTTTTTTTAATGCATGTAGGAAATTCAGGTAGGGAGGTGATTTGTGGGTTCTTCATATATAGGGAATCAGGGCAAGGAGAAGAAAGTTAAAGAAACTGCCACTTCCTTGTTCCACAGGCCTCCATTTTATGCTGTGTGTGATGCCATCGCTGGAGGGTATCTCAGTGCATGCTGGGTAATTCACAGGTAATCTGCTTCCTAGGGGGTCTCAATACCCTAGGACACAGGGGGATAAGGGCACATAGGGAAAAAGTAACAGGAGAATTGGTTATCTTTGCTACTCTACATATCCCACCTATTTGAAATCAGCCAGATGCTGTCAAAAGTAAAGCCTGTTGGGTTTTTTAATATATATATTTTTAGCCCTATAATATCTTCCAATTCTCTATTTTCTCAGGCCCTCAACAATTTGGGACATTTTTTTTGAGGCAGCCACTCAGTCCATACCCAACATGGTTTGTCAAACCACATCCATGTATCTACCAAGTCTTACTACATAACTTGGCTAACTCCCTAATACTGTATCCTCTTGATTCCCACAGTGCCCTTTTCCAGCCCATCTCCTCCCATTGCTGTGACTTATTATTTGCTGAATCATCCTTTAGCTCACTAGCTAGTTTTGTGTGTTTCTGTCTACTTCTGCTTTTTCACTGTCATTGGGAGGTGTGCATCTTTTGTGGATTACTGCTTTCTAGGAAAGTGTGAGATGGTCAAGATTGGGAAAGAGAGCAGAAATTTCCCAAGGGGCGAGGGGCCCTTTTTTCATGCAAATATGCAGCTTCTTCCTTCAACTTGATAATGTCTTTGAACACATTTCTCTGATGGAACACTACTTCTCCCCTGAGCATTGCAGAGAGACAGGTTTAAAGCTCCATGAGTGCTGAATGGATATATCAAGTTGTCAAGCTATTCTGACAACTTTATAAAGATGTTACCACAAGTAACAGGAAACCCTCTGAATCCAGCTCTGGTTGATCACTGCCTTCTGCCTACTTGTTCCCCACAGCATTATCCTTATCAAATGCAAGGTTATAGCTTCTTGTAGCACCCCTATCCTTGCTCTGTAGAATACTGTATCCTCTGCAACAGAATAAGTAATTCTGATAAAGCTTTTGAGCAATCTATGTAGTTGTTTCCTTGTATTTCCTATAAGATTGATTAGGGCAAGAGTTTGTTACTGAGCCCATGGAACCTTTTGGCTTACTAGCAGTTTTAAATCAGATTTCTCCAGTTGCATACGGTAGTAATTTGAACATTATAGTTACCCCATCACAAACCTTTTCAGCTTGGTCAATTACTGGACTTTTTCCCAGGACTGTTATTTTCAAAGCTGCCGATATAAAAGGGGCCACCTTGGAGGAAGATTTAGTCGTCCAACTGTGCAGCTATTCACAAGTGGTCATTTTTTATGAAGTTGCTGAAAAAGATGTTTTGGCTTCCCAGTTGCTATGATGAACGGTATAAGATATTATGATATAAGGCTTTATGTTTATTCATGGCTGAGATTGTCTCTCTTCATTAAGCCTATCCCTCTCCGTTGAAGTATAAGAGGAAAATGTGCCTACTGCATCCGGTGATTGCATCTGTCCATTGGTGGATTCTTGAAGCTATCTTCATCTTTTCTCTGTATGTACCGTAGGATCTGCTGCCGAAGTGAGAACTCACAGCAGTTCACTTTGGAATTCAGAGGAAACAATGGTGGATTCCCAGAAACACCCAATCTGGCTCTTCTGCTTCATTGACAGCTGCACCACAGGCAGTCAGGAATCAGAGTCCAAATGTGGCATTTTACTCATCCATATGTATCATTCCGATTTAGCAACCTGAGGAGAGCAGAACCAATCTAAATCTTTAAAAAAAAAAGAGGGGGGGGGGGCTCTCCTGTCTGCCATAGCTTTAGAAGCAAACAAAAGAGGAGTGCTTTTCCCTCTTTCTCTGTTATTACAGCTAAAATGTAGATATCCAAGATCCCACCTGGAAGGATTTGGGTGTCCTACAGGGCCGTTTCCAAAAGGCTGTATTTGTGTTCATTCTTCAGCATGAAGGCCTCAAAAACGTAAGAGGAATATATATCTTAGTGCTCCCAGGATTATGCCTGGTTCATAAAACATCAGAGCTGCATTATGCAGCATGGGCAGGACACATAGTGCCAAAGAGCATGGGTGTGTGTGATAGTTAAAGAGTATTTGTTTCATTATTCATCAGATTCCTCAAATCTGTTAAATATTTCACTGTACCACTGCCACCCTCTTTCCTGAGTCTTTGTGCCATCAAGAACCAAAACCTGTAAATGTGAATCTATGACTCCTTGTCCAATGCTTGTTGTGTCTGTGGTGTCTTGGGCTTGCAATAAAAGACTACTGTGACCAATTCACTCCTGAGGGTTGTTGGGGTTTTTTTTGTTTAAAGCTAACAAACATCTAAGGTTTCACCATATTGAAAGGAGGAGGCCTAGAATCATAATGATCTAAAGCTTAGTCAACACTTCAACACTTCACCTAAAATGTTTAATTATGGGAGTTCATCAGCCCTAGTAGCAATGTATTCCACCAAATAATGCCTTGGTGAAAATTCTTAAATACAAATGGGAACAGACTTATGGCAGATTACCAACTGACATTAAACTAAAAGCATTTGCCACCAATTTCTTTATCTTCTGCCTATCAATTAGGGTTCAAGCTGCAAAAGGGTCAGTGCCTCCTATACAGACCATGGTTGGCAATCTGTAAACCATAAGATACCTTTGACATCTTGTCTATTTTATGTTGCAAATTTTAATTTTTCCATTGGGATGGTTTAGGGCACAGATGGCAACCTGCGACTCCGGAGCTGCATGTGGCTCTTTGAGCCTTCCCCTGCGGCTCCCAGCCTCCTCTGCCATTTGCAGAGACAGAGACAGGCACTTGCGCTTCCCTTCTGTGTGTGTGTGTGTGTGTGTGTGTGTGTGTGTGTGTGTGTGTGTGTAAAAAAAAAGAGTGGACTCATGGTGCTGAAAAGCTTACTGGGCGGAGCTCCTCCCTTTGCTGCGTCTCTGCAGGAAGCAGGAAGGGCAGGAGAGAGCTAGCTAGCCCAGCTATGCTGGCTCAGGAATTCTGGGAGTTGAAGTCCATGAGTCATAAAAGAGCCGAGGTTGCTTACCCTTGAGCTTATTGGAGAACAGCTTGAAGCCAGCTTGCCAGTGAGCAGAAGATTGGAGAGAGGGAGAGAGGGGGAGAGAGAAAGAGAGAGAGAGGGAGGGAGAGAAAGAGAGAGAGAGGAAAGAGAGAGAGAGAAAGAAAGAGTGGGGGAAGAGGATTGGCAGACCAAGGGCAGAAAGAGAGAGGGGGGGAAGGGAGAGGAAGAGGAAAGAGAGAAAGAAGGAGAAAGAGGGAGGGAGAGAGGGAGGGAGAGACAGAGTCAGAGAGAGAGACCCTTTTGACATCTAAAATGAAGATAACACTGCATATACCCTTTTTTACCTTTATGATGTGTGTGTGTGTGTGTGTGTGTGTGTGTGTGTGTGTGTGTGTGTGTAATGGTAAAAAAGGATATATGCAGTGTTATCTTCACTTTAGATATCAAAAGGGTTTTGTGGCTCCCAGTGTTTTGTTTTCGGTGGGAACGGGTCTAAGTGGCTCTTTGAGTGTTTTGGGTTGCCTACCCCTGCTTTAGGGGCAAAATGGTTTGAGATCTTCATTTTACACTTTAACTCTTGTTAATCTCCCTCCCCAATTAAGACACATTTTGATCTTAGTTATTCTAGTGATGTAATGACATCACTGAAAATGTCACTTATCTCGTATCCTCCAGGCAGGATACCGAATTAAAACGAATCCCTGACAACAAATTACACAAGTCGCTTCAATTTGCCTTATTTTCTGGAGGGATACCTGGTATCTATTAGTGGAAATTGCTCCTTTCCAACTCCATTTCCCATGTAATCATTTATTTTACAATATTATTCTTTACTGCTTAATTACTGCATGTGGCAAAAAGCAGTGAAGCATGAACAGAGACATTTAGAGCAATGCAGAATTTTTCACAGAGGAAAGGGGCTTACACATAGTTCTTGTTCAGAGACCACAATTGAGACCCGCAACCTGGAAGTGAAGCCATTGCTAAGTAAAACCAATTTGGCTTATTTATGATCTTACTTTAGCTTTCCTTTGCTTTACAGATATGTGAATGCAAGGATTATTTGTAAAGTTACTTTTTCATCACTTTTGTAATTGTAAACAATTGTTAAAAGAGGTAGTTAGTAAACAAGGATTACCTGTAGTCTGAAGTGGGACAAAATGATGAGAAAGTACCTTAAACCATAATAATAAAGGCAATATATGCAAAATAGTACCAGCCAGCTTAAAATGCCTGAGAAAAGACATTCACTTAAGCAGACCTTGAAGCTAAAGCAACCACAAAAGGTTAGAAGTATGTCTTAAACTATTTTAATGTTCTCCGGCAAAGCTCACTTGCTCAGCTTTGCTGGAAAACATGCCGCTTGCTAAGTTAGCAGAAGTGCCAGGATCAGCGCCGGGCTACAGCCGATTCACACTTCTGCTAAATTAGCAAGCGGCATGTTTTCCAGCAAAGCTTGAGCACATTTGCTGGGCAGGAGCCAAGGAGAGCTGCTACAGCTGATCTGCTTCTGGGCTGCTCTGCAGAAGCGCGGATCAGCTGTAGAGGCTCGCCCCGATCCTGGACAAGAGGGAAGGAAGGAAAGGACAAGGGGAAAGAGAGAGGGAAGGAGGGACAAAGAGGGAGGCGAAGGAAGGAAGGAAGGAAGGGACAAGGGAAGAGGGAGGGAAGGAGGGACAAAGAGGGAGGCGAAAGGAAGGAAGGAAGGAAGGAAGGAAGAGACAATAGGAGAGGGAGGGAAGGAGGAAGAGACCAAAAGGGAGGGAAGGAAAGGAAGTTCCAGCCAGCAAAGCCAAGGAGAAGAAGGTGGCGGTTTCCTCCCAAAGCGGGCTCCTTTTCTCCACCCCTTCCCTGCGTTTGTGGGGAATTTCTCGTCACCAATGCTGACGTGCTCCTTTGAGCCCGCCACAAGCTTTCTCGCCCCCTTTGCCTCTCCTCTCCCCCCCCCCCCGCTTTCGTGAGGATTGTGGCACCCTTGGGAAGCCGATCGTGCTTTGAAGCTTAGGAGAGGGGGAGGAGTCCCTTCCCTCCCTCTCTCCCTCTCAAGCCCCGGCGGGCTCGATATGAACGGGTGGAGGAGGAGTCGAGGACAGGCAGGGTGGCAAAGGAGACCAACAGCCATCGCCAGACCTCCCGGCTGACAAGCACAAGTTCGGGGGTCGCCAGCTGACGGGTGCAGGAGTTGGGTGCTGCGGCAGCCTCCCATTCGCTGACCTGCATGCACGAGAAGAAGTCAATCCGGTTGCTGCACAATGAGTCTCTGGGGAGGGCGGGGCCTTGCTTTGAGCCTGCGCTCTTCATGCGTCCCCTGCAGGGCACATTTGGTAGAGTTCGTGCAGACTGCCGCCAAGCAGTATATTTTCCACAAACAAGTGAGGTGAAGCGGAGGGGGGGAAGGATGCACCGCCATGGGGGAGAGAAGGCGGTTGACAAGCCCTGCCTAAGACCATCAGAAATGTTTTTTCCGATGGTCTTAGGTGACCCCTGTGAAAGGCTCATGCGACCCCCAAAAGAGTCGCGACACATAGGTTGAGAACCTCTGCTATAGACTTATGTGCTGCCGATCTGTCCCTCTGCCTTCATGGCTTATCAGTTTGCACAGAGAGCTTTGTAAGATATGAAAAAGATAAAGATGAGTCCCTGTGGGTTTTACTCTGCTAGCAGTAGCCGACTTTAGGGGACGGCACTCATCTCGGTTTCTAGACCACTGAGCCAATACTGTCCAAAGACGTTTCCACGGTAATCACCGCATGACATCACACAGCACAGAGCATGCAGTGAAACAAGGAGTGCTGTTACCTTCACACCGAAGTGGTACCTATTTATATACTTGCATTTACGTGCTTTTGAATTGCTAGATTGGAGGGAGCTGAGGCAAGTGACGGGTGTAGGGTTCAAACTGCCGGACTACAGACCTACTCTGGAGTCTTTTAAGCCACTGTGCCACTGCATCTCTTTTGTATGCTCTAGAAGTCCTGCAATTTGGGACTAGAAAAAAAAAAACCAAGGGAGCTATCCTTAGCAGTAAATATAAGTAATATAATTACCAGGGGCATAAGGAGGATCTTACAGACAAAATGTCTCATCCTCTTGCTATCTGGTAAAGCATTCCAACACATTTGCAATGGCCAGTTGCCCTAAAGCAACTCATAACGTACAATTCATTTGCAGCCTTGAAGATGTCTAACTTTAAAGATGTAATCCTGTCATACAGCATCACAGTCTGGTTTGGAAGTATCACTGCTTCAGACAAGAAGGCAGTGCAGAGTGGTGAGGATGGCCGAAAAGATCATTGGCAGTTCCTCCCTCCCAGGACATAACAGAAGCGTTGCTTGAGCAGGGTCCGTAAGATTATCTGGGACACTACACATCTTCTTCACGACCTGTTTTCCTTGTTACCTTCTGGGAGGAGGCTTTGTGGTATCCATAGCAGAACATCCAGATTCAGCCATGGTTTCATTCCATACAGCATTAATCTTGTGAACTCTCAAGCTTCTTCTTTCCGTTATATATTCAAGATGGACAGTATTTAATATTTATTTGCTACATATATGTAGGGATGTGGATCTATACATATGTTGTTCATAGTATGTTTAGGTGTGTGTCATGTATGTTTCACTTTGAGAGCGGGCAACTAAATTTCATTTTTGATGTGTGCCGTTGTGCCCGCAGTAAAAAAAATGACAATAAAGGTTATCTTATCTAATAAACAAAAGTTTGCATTGTATTTAAAGGCTGAACTGGCATGTTAATTCTGCTTAGCTTTTCTATAGCTTGTCTCTGATACAGAACTCCAGCCAATTTGATTAGCTTATGATTGAATGAATGGTCTTAACTTGGAAAATGAGTTTATTCAGTAGCCAACTAAAACATGTTTACAAGCTAAGATGCCCCCAGCTATGTGCACTCAATACCACACCACTTGCAGTGATTTTTATAACTGGCTTAATACATGCCTTAAAATGAATCATACCTAATGGTTTTGTGTTATTACTCATACAACAGGTTTTCCGGGGCCAAGAAACAAACAATAAAAACATGTAAGAAGCAACTGAAAGAGAAGCTTCCATATTACAATGAAACTTTAGTTTTGCAGACACCATTCAAGTACCTCATTCAGATTACTTCGGAGGTCACTGACCAAATTTCTATCTGGGGCATCTCCTTAAAAGTCCATAGCTTCAAAATATTCTGCAGTTAATTTATGCTAATTTTATGTCATTTGTACTATAGTGATCTATACCATTTGCGTAATGATGT